CTAAAAAAAAATTAAATGCTGCTCAGTAATACAAATGAATGAACTACAGCCGCATAGTGCATCTCATAACCATGCCAAGGGAAAGACACCGTATGGTTATGGGTCATACAGCCCCGACATTCTTGATCCTGAGACATGTCAGAACTCATCAAATATCCATTGAAAATAAGAATTACTAGGAGTTTGTTTTTGAGACAGACAAGGAACTCGGATATCAGTGACAACTCTGGAAGTTCGATGCCTCTGGAATCTCCAGAATAGTTTCTCCTGATCTGACTTTGAGGGATGAGATGCCCTGAGAGTAATAGAGGAGCCTTTGGAGTATTTTTTTAAATTTTTTATTTAACTTTTATTAATTACATTTTATTCATTTTGTATCCCCCCATAAGCCCCTCCCTCCTCCCCTCCGGGTCCCACCCTCCCCCGCTTTCTGCATGCATGCCCCTCCCTAAGTCCACTGATAGGGGAGGTCCTCCCTCTTTCTTTCTGATCTTAGTCTATCAGTTCTCATCAGAAGTGGCTGCATTGTCAGGGTTCTAGGTTATCTCCACGGATAGTCCTTGGTTGGAGTATGAGTCTCTGGGAAGTTCCCTGTGTTCAAATTTTCTTGTTCTGTTGCTCTCCTTGTGGAGTTCCTGTCCTCTCCAGCTCTTACTATTTCCCACTTCTTACATAAAATTCCATTCACTCTGCCCGACAGTTGGCCATCAGGCTCAGCATCTGCTTTGACAGTTTGCAGGGCAGAGGCTTTCAGAGGCCCTCTGTGGCAAGTTCCGAGGTTGTTTCCTGTTTTCTTCTTCTGGCTTTCAGAGGCCCTCTGTAGCAGGTTCTTAGGTTATTTCCTGTTTTTTTTTTTTCTTCTGATGTCCATCCTCTTTGCCTTTCAGGATGGGGATTGAACATTTTAGTTAGGGTCCTCTCTTTTGCTTAGTTTGTTTAGATGTACAGATTTTAGTGGGTTTATTCTATGTTGTATGTTTATATGAGTGAGTATATACCGTGTGTGTCTTTTTGCTTCTGGGACAACTCACTCAGGATGATCCTTTCCAGGTCCCACCATTCACCTGCAAATTTCATGATTTCCTTATTTTTCATTGCTGAGTAATACTCCATTGTATAGATGTACCACAGTTTCTGCATCCATTCTTCAGTTGAGGGGCATCTGGGCTGTTTCCAGCTTCTGGCTATTACAAATAAAGCTGCTACAAACATGGTTGAGCAAATGTCCTTTTTGTGTACTTGAGCCTCTTTTGGGTATAAGCCTACGAGTGGTATGGCTAGATCTTGAGGAAGCACTATTCCTAGTTGTCTGAGAAAGCGCCAGATTGATTTCCAGAGGGGTTGTACAAGTTTACATTCCCACCAGCAGTGGAGAAGGGTTCCCCTTTCTCCACAACTTCTCCAGCATGTGTTGTCCCTTGAGTTTTTCATCTTGGCCATTCTGATGGGTGTAAGGTGAAATCTCAGGGTTGTTTTGATTTGCATTTCCCTAATGGCTAATGAGGTTGAGCATTTCTTTAAGTGCTTCTCTGCCATTCGATATTCCTCTACAGAGAATTCTCTCTTTAGCTCTGTTCCCCATTTTTTAAGTGGATTACTTGGTTTGCTGCTTTTCAGCTTCTTTAGTTCTTTATATATACTGGATATGAGTCCTCTGTCAGATGAAGGGTTGGTGATTATTCTTTCCCAATCTGTAGGCAGTCGCTTTGTTTTGATGATGGTGTCCTTTGCTTTACAGAAGCTTTTCAATTTCATGAGGTCCCATTTATTGATTGTTGCTCTTAGCGCCTGTGCTGTTGGTGTTCTGTTCAGGAAGTTTTCTCCTGTACCAATGAGTTCTAGGGTATTCCCCACTTTTTTTTTTCTAGCCGATTTAATGTGTCTGGTTTTATGTTGAGTTTTTTGATCCACTTGGACTTCAGTTTTGTGCAGGGTGATAAGTATGGATCTATTTTCATTTTTCTACATGTAGACATCCAGTTGGACCAGCACCATTTGTTGAAGATGCTATCTTTTTCCATTGTATGGTTTTGGCATCTTTGTCAAAAATCAGGTGTCCATAAGTTTATTTCTGGGTCTTCTGTTCAGTTCCATTGATCCACCATTCTGTTTCTATGCCAGTACCATGCAGTTTTTATAACTGTTTCTCTATAGTACAGCTTGAGATCAGGGATGGAGATACCTCCAGAAGATCTTTTATTGTAGAGAATTGTTTTAGCAATTCTGGGTTTCTTGTTATTCCATACGAAGTTGAGAATTTTTCTTTCCAGGTCTGTAAAGAATTGTGTTGGCAATTTGATGGGAATTGCATTAAATTTGTAGATTGCTTTTGGTAAGATGGCCATTTTTACTATGTTAATCCTGCCAAGCCATGAGCATGGGAGATCTTTCCATCTTCTCGTATCTTCTTGTAATTCTTTCTTCAGAGACTTGAAATTTTTTTCATACAAGTCTTTGACTTGCTTGGTTAGGGTTACACCAGAAAGAAATTAAAGTCTTCCTAGAACTCAATGAAAATGAAGACACAACATACCCAAACTTGTGGGACACAATGAAAGCAGTGCTAAGAGGAAAGTTCATAGCACTAAGTGCCTTCAAGAAGAAATTCGAGACAGCTCATTCAAGCAACTTAATGGCCCACTTAAAAACCCTAGAAAAAGAAGAAGCAGACACACCAAAAAGGAGTAGACGGCTGGAAATAATCAAACTCAGGGCTGAAATCAATCAATTAGAAACAAATAAAACAATTCAAAGAATCAATGAAACCAAGAGCTGGTTCTTTGAGAAAATCAACAAGATCGACAAACCCTTAGCCAAGCTAACTAAAAGGCAGAGAGACACTACCCAAATCAACAAAATCAGAAATGAAAAGGGGGACATAACTACAGACACCGAGGAAATCCAAACAATCATTAGGACTTACTTCAAAAGTCTATATGCCACAAAATTTGAAAATCTAAATGAAATGGACAATTTTCTTGATCAATTTGACTTACCAAAGCTGAATCAGGACCAGGTAAATCAATTAAATAGTCCTATATCCCCCAAAGAAATAGAAGCAGTCATCAAAAGTCTCCCATCCAAAAAAAGCCCAGGACCAAATGGCTTCAGCGCAGAATTCTACCAGACCTTCAAAGAAGAGCTAACTCCAATTCTCTTCAAACTATTCCACAAAATAGAAACAGAAGGAACATTACCAAACTCATTCTATGAAGCCACAGTCACCTTGGTCCTAAACCTCACAAAGACTCAACAAAGAAAGAGAATTTCAGGCCAATCTCCCTTATGAACATTGATGCAAAAATACTTAACAAAATACTTGCAAACCGAATACAAGAACACATCAAAGATATTATCCACTATGACCAAGTAGGCTTCATCCCAGGTATGCAGGGGTGGCTCAATATACGGAAATCCATCAATGTGATCCACCATATTAACAAACTGAAAGAAAAAAACCGCATGATAATCTCCCTAGATGCTGAAAAAGCATTTGACAAAATCCAACATCCATTGATGTTTAAAGTCTTGGACAGATCAGGGATACAAGGCACATATCTAAATGTAGTAAAGGCGATATACAGCAAGCCTATAGCCAACATCAAACTGAACAGAGAGAAACTTAAATCAATCCCACTGAAATCAGGGACAAGACAAGGCTGCCCACTCTCTCCATATCTCTTCAACATAGTGCTGGAAGTCCTTGCTAGAGCAATAAGACAGTTGAAGGAGATCAAGGGAATACAGATGGGAAAGGAAGAAGTCAAATTATCACTATTTGCAGATGATATGATAGTATACATGAGTGACCCCAAAAACTCTACCAGGGAACTCCTACAGCTGATAAACACCTTCAGCAAAGTGGCCGGATACAAAATTAACTCAAAAAAATCAGTAGTACTCCTGGATACAAAAGAAAAAAGGTCTGAGAAAGAAATTAGAGAAACAACACCCTTCACAATAGCCACAAATGACATAAAGTGCCTTTGGAGTCTTAAGCAAACTCATTTTCACAGTGATCAGTCAGCGTGCTGAGTGTTTCAGTGGTTTTTTTTTTCTTTCTTTCTTTCTTTCTTTCTTTCTTTTTTTTTTTTTTTCATCCCTCACAACATCTCAGAGAGTTAGGAACCCACTCTATATGGGAAAAAAATGTGAAGCCCACAGAAGTTATGTAATTCCCAAAGATGCTAATCCAAGATCCAATCCCAAATTTTACCCCAAAGCCTTTTTTCCCCTCATGCTGGCATCATCTTTAAAATGTTTAGCTACTAATGTGAGGTTTGGGCCTGAAAACTTTGCTTTAAAAATATATCTGAAGATTATTCTTAGGAAAGGTTTTCTGAGATTCATGTTAGTAAGGCTCTGTGCATCAAAACTGCCCAAGAGAGAAAAAAAGGAATGAGGACATCTGCGGAAAGTCCCTCAGAAGGAAGCCTCAAACATTTATGCTGTGAAATTCTATTGATGCTTTCACTCCCCACACACACCCCAAAGGGGCTGGATTGTGCTTTATCACATTACACATCCATGTTGTGTAACTGAATGTTTAGATATATTATTCCATTAGCATAAGTTTATCATTCTGAGGAAGAGCCTCAGTTATTGATTAGACTTTGGGAAGAGTTTTCAAAAAACTCTGGATCCCAGGATCTCCTCCAGGCTATGTCCATCATCTCCAACCTTTGGCTACTTAATAAAACCTCACTAGATGGCACTGGGATGTGACTCAGCCATACCAAGAGCTCGATGTGTTGTATTCTGCAAATGTCTCTCCTTGGCCTCATGCATTTTTCCATATCTGAGAAAATAGGCCCTTGATCTGTTTGATCTTGCGTGAATCTATTCCTAGACTAATGCTAAAATCTCTTACTCTTAAACCTTCTTAAAAAACTCTTTGAGCCACACTAATGGTAGTCCCATTACAGATAGGAATAATGATGACGAGGCTGCCAGTTACCACAAATTCTAATTGTCCTATATTTGTGGGGTTTTTTGCTCAGACGTGACTGTGGTTTATCAGAATGGGTTACCCGTGATATCTGTGAGGCTGCCGTCTCGGCGTGAACGCTGCCAGTTCACACTCAAACCTATCTCTGACTCTGTTGGTGTGTTTTTACGACAACTGCAAGAGGAGGATCGGGGAATCGACAGAGTTGCAATCTATTCACCAGGTATAGTCCACCTCCATTTTTAATTCTCTTCCTCCTGCCCCACCTGAGCAGCTCAGTACAAATGCTGCCATAACAGGGCTTTGAAAACATGCTTTCCAAGTGTGAAAGACAAAGTCCTTTCCATCCCAGTGGTCCTCAGGACATAACTGTTCATGTCAGCAGATGTATGCCCACAGGGAGTCGTAGTAAAAGCAGCTCTCACTGAATACCATCACAAGGACAAGCAGGCAATGACACTTCATGTTATTGAGGCTTCTTATTACCATAGGTGCAGAACATGGTTTTCCAGTAGTGGAGCTCTCAAGTGTTTACCAAAAGAGAGTCTGTGATTTGAGAGTATACAATAAGACACTAAGACTCTCATTTAATGGAACATCTGTTTATTTAAGTGCAAAAATGAATTGTTTTCACTTTGACTTAGAAAAATCTTTCAAACCTACGGAAAGATTGAGAGCCTAGTAACTACCCATTTACCCTTTATTTGGAGCCACCAGCTACAGAGCTGCCAACTTCTGTCCTTTGAGTGTTAACATTGAGCTTCAAGCACTCTGAGCTCATCTACTAATGTACGTGGAGACCCTTACGTGCTCCCCATCGCATCCTTCCCTACTGAATTAATTAGCAGCTTAGCAGCGGCTGGGTTGCCAAACACCATACGATCAAAAGCACTGAGTCTGCTGCTCATGCCGCTCTGCAGGTGACCCCAGATTCCAGCTGAGCCTGTAGGTCTATGACCAGCAGGTATTTCACTGTTTCCCCAGCTACAGAAAAGCTGCTGTTAAGTCATCAGAGTTGGGCTAAACACAAAGAACATACAAGCTGGTCTGTGTAGCATGGGCCTTGGGTGTGAGGCAAAGTTAACAGAGATAGAAAAGATGAGAGCACTTTAAAGCTATTTGAGATTTGGGGGTTGTGTTGTTTTGTTTTTTTGATCATTCTTAATTAACTATAGGCATGTGACAAGTGTCATTTAAAATGTTCACAGATGGTGTTCGAGTTGCTGCCTCCACAGGAATCGACCTCCTCCTCCTTGATGACTTTAAGCTGGTCATTAATGACTTAACGTACCACGTACGGCCACCAAAGAGAGGTAAACACAGCCTTCAGACGGTTTTGTAAATGTGGGAAGGCCTTTGGAAGGAACTGAGTTTTTCCGTGAGGAACCATGAGGAGCAGATGACATGTGGTCTTTCCCCCTTGCAGATGACATGTGGTCTTGACCCTTTCGGCTCAGAGCTCACAAGCATCTGGCTGTACAGGCAGCTCCTGAATTCCACCTCGGTACTGGAGTGCCTTGTCATTTCCAGAAGCTCCTTCCTGACCCGTTTTTGTATCTTTAAAAAGATTGTTTATTTGTGTGTGTGTGTGTGTGTGTGTGTGTGTACTATAGCACCCTTGTGGAGGTCAGAGGACAAGTCTTGGGAATCGGTTCTTTGCCTCCACCATGAAAGTCCCTCAAAACTGAACACAGGTCCTCAGGCTTGGCAGCAGGCACCCTTACCCATTGAGCCAACTCCCCAGCCTTTTGTTTTCCTTGCAGAAGGATTTCTTTTGGCTTATGGTTCCAAGGAAATACAGTCCATCATGCAGGGACATATTATTCTTATACACTAAACTAATATGCAGGGAATCTTTATGTCCAAATAAAGGATTTCTTTGTTCTTTTGAATGCTGTGCTAGGTATTAGTCATTTTTCTTTCTTTGATGGTTTAAATTCAGCAATCTAAAGTCAATTATTTTGCAGCCATTCCGTGGCTTCTTGCAGGGGTAGTAAATCTACTGGAGTTGTAAATGCAGACTTTATTTGATACACCTCGCTTACCAAAGATTATGCTTAGTTTAGTTTACCTTAAGCATATACAGAACTTAAGCATATCAAGTATGACTGAACAAAATCATCTCACACGAAGACTGCCTTATTATAAAATGCTGATAATCTCATGTACAACACACAGCAGAGAATTCCTTAGACGTATTTGGATGCACATACATAAAACACAATATCAAAAAAATTACTAGCAACCCATATAGCATATGCTAAGCTATTGGTTGATTATCTCCATGGCTACATGGCTGAGTGAAAGAAGTAATTAGCGGTCTCTGTCAGACATCACTAACATGAAAAGAAATATCTCAAAACAGGAAGCCTGGTTCCTACTGAATATATAGTACCTTCTCACCACTACAAAAATCAAAATGTCTGAGTCCTAAGGCCTTCTGTAATCTTTAGGAATTTCTGACATACACATACTTTTGTGTGGGAAAAAAAAAAGTGAGTGCTCAACTTGGGTACACATTTTTAAGAGGGCAACAAAATACTTAGTAATCAAGGTAACATTTTAATGCTCTGTTTTTATACAAACACATACATAAAATGCAAGCGTCAGTGCTTGTGGTTTCATACCCACACATGCATAAGATGCATGCTTTAGTGTTACTGGATTTCTCTTCATTCCATGCTCCAGTATAGCTCTGCCTGGCATTGATGGTCAGTAGCCCTCAAAAACAGCATTGTGTTTTTATATCCTTTTGGACCAGTTTCCTCTCTTGCCCCGAGATTCATTGTCATTTCCTGCTAATGACCCTTCCACAATCATTGTTCCCTGCACTAACCTCCTGGGGCAATAGTTCTCAACCTTCTTAATGTATGACCCTTTAATACAGTTCCTCATGTTGTGTCCCCCAAATATAAAAGTCATGAATCATAATGTAAATATCCAATATGCAGGATATCTGATATGTGACCCCAAAGAGGTTGTGACCCACAGGTTGAGAACCATTGTCCTAGGACATCTCTTTTTTTTTTTTTTCTCCATTAATTAACCTAATTACTTAACAGTCTGATTGCAGCCCCCACCCTCCTCTTTTTCCCACCCCACCCTTACACCCCCTCCCTCCATTCCCTTCTCTGAGGAGAAAAGGAGACCCCCCCCCAATTGGGTGTCTTATGGAAGAGTGGGAGGAAGGATTGAAGGAGATGGAGGGATCAAGTATACCACAAGAAGACCCATAGAGGACATCTCTTTTTAATTCTGCTCTTAAGAATTGAACCTAAGCCAGACGCAGTGGTGCACACCTTTAATCTCAGACTCAGGGGGCAGAGAACAGGCAGATCTCTACGTTCAAGGCCAACCTGGTCTGCACAGTAAGTTCTAGGACATGCAGGGCCATGAGAGACCCTGTCTCAAAAAAAGAAAAAGAAGAAGGAAGAAAGGAAGGAAGGAAGGAAGGAAGGAAGGAAGGAAGGAAGGAAGGAAGAAAGGAAGGATGGATTTCGTCTAATAGGCTGAAGAGATGGCTCACTGCGTAAGAGCACTTGCTGCTCTTCTGGAGGACCCAGGTTCAGTTCCCTGTACCCACACCAGGCAATTCACAGCTGCACAGGACTTCAATTCCAGAGAATCTGACGCCCTCTGGCCTCCATGGCATAGGGCACATACATACATGTAAATTTAAATAAATAAATAAACTTGAAAAAGAATTGGATCTATCAGAAAAAGGTTCGGAGTGGAATCCTAAATTTAAAATTTCTATACAGCCACCCATTTCGGCCTTGCCAGATTGCCCCTAATCCTGAAATAGTCCCTTTCTTCCCACTCCTTCCTCTTCATTTTCTCATGTTAAAAGCATCAGGTCAGCTCATCCAGACACCCTCAAGGATCCTATTCATTCTCTTTCTGGCTCCAAACAAATCCAAAGGGATTAACCTCTGAATTCTGCTTATTCTTTTCCTCTGTAAATGCTCTCTGGGAAGGCAGGCGCTGTAACTTGAGATCATTCTATGTTGAAGGAATTAAGTAACTCAAATGTGGAGCATTTTGGTTGTTCAGAGGCCAGACTCTCTTGTCTAACAATAGAAAATGAATGAATGAATGAAGTATAACACTCAGGAAAATAAAAATATGAGCTTTCATATACAAACTAAGAGTTTTCATTTGATGTTATGAGTAATCCAATGACTTCCCAGTGTTTTTCACACAGAAATAAGTGCTTTCATTTTTTTAAGTAAAACTGCTTGCTCTCAAGCAGAGTAAGGAAAACTAAAGTAGAAACTGATCGTAGGCAGAATTACATTTGATTCATGGGTGATTTTGTGTGTGTGTGTGTGTGTGTGTGTGTGTGTGTGTGTGTGTGTCAAAACTTCAATATTGGCCCAGCTTCAATAAAAGAATATTGGGATATGAAATTTTCAGGAGTCAAAAGTCTAAAATTTTTGGTGATAACTGTAACCCAAAGAGTGTAATTTGCTAAACTTAGCAACGTTCTTAAGAATTTTTTGTTTTGGTCTTTTGATTCAGTCTTAATATAGAGCCCGGACTGACCTCACATTATAAATCCTACTACATCTTCATGTTTGCTGTTTAGAGTGCAGGTGCGTGCCACATGTCTGGCTTCATACATAGTTTTAAAGAATTGTGTGGCGGTGTAATGTGGCTTATGAGAACTAAAATTATTCTGAATGTTGTTAAACTGTGATTTCACACACGCCAGGCTCAGAGGACAAAGGATTCTTCCTACAGAGTCTGGGATGGCCACGTGCTGTATTTACAAGGAATAGCAGGCTCTAGGTGCTGTGGGTCCTGCCTGTTGGCATCCTTGTGCCCAGGCCGGAGGCACAAGAGGACCTATTCCAGGTTGGAACACATGTACATGTCATAACAGGAAGGCTGGTTGCCAGCTCTAGCACAGGATTTTAGTGGCCATCAGTGCACATCATTTAAGTCTCAACAGAAACAAGAACATAGAAAGGAACACGAAAGCCTGAAAAGTAATTGCCTTGAAGAGAATGTACCCATGTCACAAGAAACTATGACTTCCGCAGGAATCATTGTTCTTGGCACCACTAAAGGCACCCACAGGAAGTTAAGAGAGCTTGTTGCTTCTTAATGATATGACTTGAGGAACGGGATCAAAAAGGCAGACTAACCAGGGATAATGACTGCCTTATTCGAGACCCCCATAGGAAAACCTTCTCAAGTTATGTTTATGGATGACAAAAATTTCCATAGCTCATTTTGTTAGCACATTTCTGCTGTTATTACTATTTTGGAACCAATGGAGTGTATGGAGACATTGGTAAACATTATTGTGTGTGTGTGTGTGTGTGTGTGTGTGTGTGTGTGTGTGTGTGAAACATGCATGATTTAACCCAAAGCACTATTGTTAAGCTAGTAGCAGTTTTTCCATCTTCCATGTGGGTTCATCTTCAGTGACTTCTGAGGATCAAGGGTTGGTTCTGTTATTGTCACCTGTGTCTATACAGTACCTTTAGAGGCATATCATTCTTGTTAAGGCAACCTGACAAATAACTTGTAAACTCCAAATCCACTGAGGCTTTACCAGTGCACAATCTAAAAGATAACTTCAGCCAGGTCTAGAATGACATATCTCTGAGATCTATAACTTAGCATTTTCTGGGTTTTTTTTTTTTTTTAATTGCCCTTAGAAGGCTTTGTGGTGGCATATTAGTTTGATGTTATGGTTGTTTAAAACAGCTAACACATTCATAGGTTCAGGTCCCAAAGTCTAAAATACTCTTACATAAAAACGAATCAAAGTAAAATGTTTGCTTCCCTCGCTGTTCTCTGAACACACGTAGAAAGAGTCTAGTATGGCGGCACATAGCCATTGCCAGTGCCAGAAGCAGGCAGATCCCTGGAGCTCACTGGCCGACGAGTCTAACCTAATGGTTGGCTCCAGACATTGAAAGCTCTTGTCTCAAAGGTGGTGACTGGTGTTCTGAGGATGTATATGTCTTTGCCTGTTTCTCCCTCCCTAGCACAGGTACATACATGTGTACACACATACAAACCCCTAAAAGTATTCATGGTAGGAAATACTTTTACAATTATAGCTATAGCTGAAGAAGAAGGGGCCAGAAAGGGGAGTTTGGAAGATCAGAGAATAGTTGGAGACTTTGAAACTTTGGCACCATGCGATGAGTGATGGGTCCTTAGGGGACCTGGAAATTCATGCACATCCATATTCTAATGAGGCCTACTACTGAATGTAGAGAAATCCTTCTGTGTTGCTAAATAGAACTTTCTAGCATGGGGCTCTGAGTTCAATTCCCAGTACCAAAAAGGAAAAAGCATATTAAAAATGCTTCATTTCTACCCTGTCAAATATAGTAGCCATAAGTAAATGGACTGTGACTGAAGAACTGAATCTTTCAATTAATTTAAATTTAACACATGAGAAGTTACAGAAATGTTAGTCAGAAGATAAAAAAATACAGTAGTTGAATAAGCTCAAGTGGGGTGACTGTCACTAACAACAATGCATTGTTTTGTTGAATGGTGCAAGAGTAAGAGTAGATTTTATATCTCATTACAAAAAATATGTGATGTAATTAAATTCTGTATTTGGCCATATTTCAAGATAATATTGATGATAAATATATATTCTCTTTACTTGTTAGTTTTAGATAAATAATTAGTTTAAAATAAACAGAAGAATGTGGTGAGTGTTCCCCATATTGGACAGACCATTTTTAAAAGGCTGCATCTGGTTCTGGACCTGAGTTTGCTGTTAACCAATAAATGCTACAGATGAGCAAGCCCGACACAGCAGGAGAGTGTAGGTGCAGCTGGCCCCAGTAGACATCTCTGCATCTCCCTCAGCTCTAACCTCAGCACCCTCCAAAGCATGATGCCATCAGCTTCACTTCCTCCTTCCAAAATCTCACCAAGATCTCTCTCTGGCTTGGAGCCATGCAAAGAGAGGCATTCTGGGAAACACACTGCAGTGTCACAAATTGACCAGGCTTAAAAGAGTAACTAACCTGCTTCTGTCAGCTGGTAGGAGGCTCTGATGCCCTTCCTTGCCAGTTTGCACAGAATGCCTCCTCCTTCTCCACAGCTGCCATGCTGTTTGTACGGATGAGCCCCACCTGCCACCTCACTGCTGATTCTCTGATTTACCACCAGGACTTGGAGTCTTGATCGTTTGCCACAGTTTACATGCAACATAGAATGTATGTGAGGGAAATATGTAGAACTGTTGTGACAGAGCACCCTCTGTCTGTGTGGACCAAAGGTTAGATTTTAAAGAAGAAAAAAAGCCATGAAAGATATTAAAAGATGTTTAAAAAAAAACTTCAGAAGCATTTCTATGCCTGTGGAATGACAAAACTATGATACCAGAACCCCCACCACCACCAAAAAAAAAGAAGAGATGTATGCAGTGCCTCAGTGGGCACCAGAAGACTGATATAAAAAATAAGTTTCACAGACATGGTGGTGCTTGTCTGAGGTTCCAGCTCAGAAGACAGAGGCAGGAGGGTCATGAGATGAATTCAGCGGGACACTGTCTCGTTGTCAATTAACTGATTAATTAATTCTACACAGTGGGGCCCATAGCCTGAAGATTATGTTTTTAAGTAACACATGTTTAATGATTTTAATAGAAATTTCCCTTAGTGTAAAAGAAATGTCAACCTTGTTTCCAAATGCTGTGATAAAACACCGAGACCAGTGTCACTTATAGACAGGTTTGTTTGGGCTTATGGTTCCAGAGGGGTGAGAAGTCTGTCACCATCATTTCAGGGAGCATGGCAGCAGGCAGGCAGCCACGGAACTGGTGCAGCAGTTGAGAGCTTACATCTTGATCCAAAAGCAGAAGGCAGAGAAGCACACTGGGCATGGCAGGAAGCTCTTGAAGCCTCAAAGCCCACTCCTCATGACACACCCTCTCCAACAAGGCCAGTCCTTCCCAAACAGTTCCACCAACTGGGATCAAGCGTTCAAACATATGAGTCTATGGGGCCATTCTCATTCAAGCCACCACAGCATAGGATTCTATTTGGGAGAGAGTTTTTGGTTTGTTTGCTTGCTTGCTTGTTTTTTGACCACAGGTAATTCATATCAACTTCAGTATTTATCTTTTCAAAGGAGAACTGAGTTTCAGGATAGAAGGAGACACTATAGAAGACACACTTTACCTCTGCTCCTGGCCTGAGAGTTGGGAGTCATGGGTTCCATCAACTCACACCAATGTTCTGGACAGGTTACAGAAATGACTTCTAGAAAGCAGTGTCCTTGTGTGGAAAAGCTGTATTCCAGTGTGAGTTTGCAGCATTGCCACAGGGAGGATCATATTGTCATGGATGACTTCCAGACCTCACAGTGTTTTGTTTCCATTACCATTGATTCCATACTCATTTACTGAGGATCCCATGTTAGTTACCACATCAGCTCTTCTCCAGTCTGCTTCTCGACCTTCATTGATTAACTCTTTGTGATAATTATACTGAATGGTATTTGTAATAGATTGTTAATATTCACTGGGCTATATTTTGATTTGGGAAGGGACAAATCAGGGCTTGGAGTATAGCTGAATTTCTATTAGAGACTCAAAACATTTTAGATTTTTAGAAATACTACAGATCATAATGGAAGATACTAAATTAAAGAATTTAACCTTTCACCTTTCTGATCATTTTCATAAAACTCTGTGCCCATCACAGCATGACACTGAGGCCCAAACAACTCTTCTCAGCCTTTGCTGAGCAAGATTGAGTATGAGCTGGTCAGTGTGCTGAGTGAAGCATGTGTTAAGATCATTAGAGTGGTGGTGGTGAGTTATTTATTTTTTGCCTTTACGTTGGCAAAATGTATATTTGAAATGCTATATTTTTTTCCTCAGAACTGTCTAAGTAGGAAAAATATCAAGGCCACAGATAAATTACAGAACAAACACTTAATAAAGAATCATAATGAGGCTGAACCTGACCCTCCTGACTGTTTTGGAGTATGTGTCCTAAGGTTTTTGTGCTTGTCTGTCTGTTGACACTCTTATTGTTTTTAGGACTGGGGATCAAACCCAGGGCCTGGTATGCTCGACAAGTTCCCAGGCCACACACTGGGGGTCACCCTTCCCGTTTCCTTTGGCCATGTAGTCATAGAACTTGGACTTTCAATAAATAAAATAATGGTTATTGATTTCAAAGTTTCTGAGTCGCCCTCATGTGAATTTACTTTCTTGATCTGTAGAATGATTTAAAAAAACAAACAAACAAACAAACAAACAAACAAACAGTTATTCAGTTTAATGCTGAAGGACTCCTGTAATGGATAGACCTGACTCATAGCCTGGCCATTGTCTGATGGTTCTGGGAATAGCAGTTCTTCATCTTAAAGCGTTCAGTGTTTATTACATTTTTATTTTATTAAACCTACATATTTATGTAGGTTGCACATGACACAGTGTGTGCACACTTGCACACATGGGGAGGTCAGAGGACAACTTGTGTCAGTGCTCTCCTTCCACCATATTGTTCCCTGGGATTGAACTCAGGTCATCAGGCTTGGTGACAGGCACTTTCACCCCCGGAGCCATCGCCTGGCTAACATGTCCAATTGTTGCTTTATTTTATTTTAAGGTAGCGTATCTTTTTTGTTATTCTTCTCTCCTACATTACATCCTGACCACAGTTACGAACCTCTTTCAGACCTCCTAAGCCATGAAAACGCAGCAACCCTGAACGACGTGAAGACGCTGGTCCAGCAGCTCTACAGCACGCTGTGCATTGAGCAACATCAGCTTAATAAGGAGCGGGAGCTGGTGGAGAGGCTAGAGGACCTCAAGCAGCAGCTGGCCCCCCTGGAGAAGGTGAGGACCCCTCAGACTTTCCCCTAGGTCCCTGTTCCCCCAGTACACATGGGCCTCTGTGTCTCACTTTGATACAACTAGTCCACTCATTCAAATTGGTCCATTAACTTACTGTTCTGAACCTTTAAAAAAGATCCAACCAAAGCCAAAAGAGGACTTAAAAGGAATTGTCTGGAGCCTCAGTAATAAACCAAGAGCCCTGAAGACCATTTGTACTGCCCATACTGGATTTACTACTGCTGACACAAAGACTAGTGTAACTGCTGGCCTGAAGAGCTTCTGAATGAGTAGTGTATTTTGCAAACTTAATTTTTCCATAGAAAGTATCCCTGCTATGGAAAGTAAATCCTAAAAACAGTGTGGATATGGTCCAGGGTTTTTTTAATTGCATTTATTTATTTATGCAAGACTGTGTGGGCATGCATATGCCACGGGGAGCAGAGGACAGCTCATGGGAGCTTCTATAATGTGGGTCCCAGGGGTTGAACTAGGTCCTCAGTGTTGGCGGCAAGCCCCCTTACCCACTGAGTCATCTCATAGGCCCTTATGATTCATGTTTCCAAGTATTATTTACACTGTGCATGTTTACACTTACACACAAAGAACAATCAAATGTAATAGAATGTGCCAATGCAATTGGAGGCCCATGACTGATTTTTCTCCTTTACACTTTTTAGAATCTTTTATAGTGAGCATGTTAGCCTGAATCTTTATGGTGTTGCAGATTCCACCATTGCTCACTTAATGATGGAGAAACAGTCTGAATAATGTCTCTAAGAGATTTCATTGTAAGAACCTCAAAGAGTTGTATGTGCACAGACTGAGGTGGTCTAGGTCTTTGCTCAGCATGGCCTCTTGATGCAGTCAGAGATGGGTGACTTTACATGTGTGAGGCCATGTAACAGCCTCTAAAATAACAATAGAAAGTAAGGTTCAGGAAATGCCTCCATCAGTAGCACAGCTGTTCATTGCCTTCAAGCATCATACTACTCTTCCCTGTGCTAACCGTGCTAGGCTTGCTTACACCAGCATCACCACAAACATGTGATTCATATGCTGTCTTGTGCGAGCATGTCATATATGCAGTCCCTCAGTGACCAAAACAACAGTGTGACATGTGGCTATATGTTCATTCTAAGAAACTGATAGTTGGAATTGAGGAAAGAAATGAGTCCTTTTAGGACTGTGCCTTTGCTTTTCTAAGGAAAGTTGTTAGCACATTATCTACCATGTGCCACGGTCATGTGTCGGTGCCTGTACTCCCTTGTCTAGCCTCCATAAGAAAGCCGGTGGGATTCGGATCTCATCCTTATGTGTTCATTCAGAATCCACAGTCTGTGCTGACTCACTTCTTGTTCTGCCGTGGAGTAAATTTAAAGTAAAACTGATGATAGATGGACTCTGGCACACCCATACGAGGACACCGTGGCCTTTATTCTCCTCTTTCAAAAAAGTTAGCCTTGCAGTCAGAGAGAAAGCTATTGAAACACACTCTCATATTTCTGTATACTTCTAGGGTAAAACTTTAATAAAACCCAGAAATCTTAGTTATCCCTGTCGATGCTGTGTTCAGTGAACACTACCACTGTTATCTAGGATGCAGTTCCATTTTCTGGAACTGACTCCTGCTTGCTGGTAGGCCCCTGTTCCATCAGGGAACATAGAGCAGTTTAAAGAGTTGTAAGTTGGTTCCAAAGCAAGAGGCTTAATGTTGTCTGTGTATGCCCAATAGGTACGAATTGAAATTAGCAGGAAAGCTGAGAAGAGGACCACTTTGGTGCTATGGGGTGGCCTTGCCTACATGGCCACACAGTTTGGCATTTTGGCCCGGCTTACCTGGTGGGAATACTCTTGGGACATCATGGAACCAGTCACCTATTTCATTACATATGGAAGCGCCATGGCCATGTATGCATATTTTGTAATGACACGCCAGGTAAGAATTCCTCTTCATGTCTCTTTTTAGAAACTAAGAATGGAGTTTGCAAGGCCAGTTCTCAGTTACATGTCAGCACTGCTGTAGGTGTGAAACATGGAGAGGGGCATGGCCTTGGCCGCTATGACTCACATGCATAGATGCCCCTAGAGTTCAGACTGTAATAGAGGAGTAAGAACAGAAAAGCATGCCACAGTAGGCATGCATTCCCATTTTGCTTAATGTTTATTTATTTGTTTGTTTATGATATTATTTTTTACAGCGCTGAGGCTCAAACCCAGGGCATCATACACAGAGGCAGGTGCTCTACTGCTGAGCTACATCTCCAGCCCTATTGGCTTGATTTTTCTGTGTATTTATGTAATTACTTTAACAATTGGATGGAGAGTGTCATAGGCATTTTATTGAATTTTTAGGATGGAGGATTCTTTATAATTAATCGAATGTATGAACTAGACTCCAGCGCTTCTTCTGTGTATGCTCAATGATGTTTTGAGAGAAGGGGGAAGGTCTTTTCGCCAGGAGACATGGAGTGAGATGAACGTAATTGAGAGTCTGGGAGGATAGCTGGCTGGAGCAGGCAAGGTGGATGGGTTAGCTTAGACAAGCTAGTTGAGAATCTGCCCAACTAAGGCCTAAGCTTTGAAAAACTAAAGAGAAACAAAGAGGGAGAGGTGACCAGTAGGTACTCAGTCATTTTACCCTCAGCCTGCTCTTTATCAATTAAGGCCAGCTTAGTGAATACAGGTATCTAGAACCAGGTTTTGTTGACAGTGTTGGTTCACATGTCATGGAAATCCATAGTATCATTTTGAGAAGTATGATGGATTATGGCTTTTTTTTTTTTCTAATGTGGTGCTGGTGATCAAACCCAGGACCTCTCATATACTAGATGCACACTCCAGCACTGAGCTGTACCTGAGCCCTTCCAGCACTTGTCAGTATTTCTGTTATACCGGATCTAGCTGGCATGGCCTTAAATAACAAACATTTGAAGTAGCCGAGACACACAAGACTGCCCAGGTTCTCTTTTGTGTCTGCAGCAGGCCAAGGGTTGTTCACAGGGCTGCTTTTGAGCTAGGCATTTTCCTCAGTGTTAGATCAGTGATCATGGATCCAGGCATGTGTGAGGAAACCAAAGGGTAGGAATTTTATTTAACATTTCCCAGCCTCCCAAACATACCTGGTAGAGAAGAGGAAGGTGAAACCGTCTGCCCTCTGAATGCTCACCCAGGGGCTGCTGTGTTCCTGTAACTCATGGCAGTCACTGAGGGAATGGAGCTGACAACTATGTCATCCAGTGAGCCGCTCCTCTAGTGCACCAGCATGAGCTTCCACACCTCCTCAGCCTGGGTTTTCAGAACCCATCGCTGCCATCCCATCCTTAAGAGTATCTTAGCTCACTTGTGTTTGCACTGTGCTCCATCCCCCAAGATGCCCCTCGTTCCCCTTTACTCCACTCCTTTCCTCACACCATTCTTCAGTCTGGAAACTCCTCCCGCTCATTTCTGTCATATTTCAAGGCTTATTTAAATTCTCACCTTTCATGAACAGTTACTCATTTTCCTACAGCTCAATGTCTCCGTGTTCTCTTGAATCACTGCAGTGTGTTATCTTTTATTTTTCTTGCCCTGTGTTGTCTTTTCTCTCAGATGAGACCATAATATCATCTTTTATTTGTTTTTTGGGTTGTTCTGTTTTTTCAGAAGAGTGTGGTTTGTTTGCCTTGGAGGATAGGTTCTCGCTTTGTAACTCAGTGTGGCCTGAAGTCTGCCTTCTGAGTACTGGGGTCCAGGTGTGCTCCACACCTGCTTAGGCCGTGTGTCATCCACACTTTACTCGCTTGTCCTGGAACATGGTACCTTGTATCTCAAGAACTGAATAAATGAACAAATGAAATAAATGGCAGTCATACCCTTGGCACATGCTAGAACTTCTCCATTATGCCTTGAATTCCAAACTGTTTTTGACATATTCTTGCCAGTCAGTCAAATTTTAAAAACGGCATTTTCCTATGGCTATTACATTCCTTTGACTGTGAAGACTTTAAAAGCCTTCTTACATCTGTGAAAATGTCCATGCACCTTTTTTCGAGGTAAATCACATAGTATGCATTTGCATCCAATCACATAAATATGTACCCACTCGCTTATAGTCTCAGTTCTATGAATACATACCCATTCTGCAGATGAGGAAATAAGGGTTGTTCGAGTAAGAACTGCATGCTGAAAACTGTAGGACCAGGAGCTGAACCCAAATGTGTCGTCCCCCAAGCTTTTCTTTACATGTCCCTTCTGTTGAGTTCATTTGTGAGTACTTATTTCTGGAAACTGAATAATTTGGATCTAGAGCAGTAACGGAAATATTAAAGGAGTTGGGTATGTGTCACACACCTGTACTCTAGCATGTGGGTAACAGAAGCAGGAGAGTGTCTTAAGGTCAAGGTCATCCTGGTCTACACAGAAAATTCTAGGCCAGCCTGAATTACAGTAATGCAGTATTAGTCTGGAACACAGTGGCAGCACTTTCTTTCATTATGTAGTTGTATCTGTAACGCTGTGCTGTCCTGTGTGTTAGATGCGGCACTAGACCTCCAGAGTATTGTTACTGCCCCCAAGTGACAAGTTATGACATAGCAGTAGTAAACAATTAGGTCACACCTCTGACCAAAAACATTAGCCAAATTAAATGTACATAATTTCTTGTGCTAAATATCGCTTTACCTAATTATATCTCATTACCTAGCATATCTAATTATACCATGAGCAAAATGACTGCTTCTAAACTGTCACAATGATAATGCTACATTTGTTCACAACCTCAAGAATCTTTGAAAGAGAGCAAATTCTTTGAAATAATAAAACTGAGTGAATCTGGGCATGCTGGCACACACCTGTAATCATCCCAGCCTGGCAGCGGTAGACGGTGAACACTGTGATGTGGTTGGAGTAGCACCTCGTAGCTGCGGGAAATGACTCTGTGGCTACAACAGAGCAAGCAAAGCCTGGAACGGCAAGTGTTTGCAGTTCCACCTGCTTGAGAGGATGAGGTAAGAGGATAGTTTGAGCCTAGAATCCAGGCCAGTAAATTTATGACAACTTGATCTCAAAACACAAAAGACAAACAGATGTTTAAGAAATAGCTAAATATGTAACACAGCACGTTGCTCTGTCTTTATGGGTATGTATTGTGTTCAGTCTAATCAGTAGTTAATAATTAACCAGCAATTAATAATGTCTTTAGAATAGTACTAGTGAGGCTAACTTCTCCCTCTTTTTTTTGTAGGAATATGTTTATCCAGAAGCCAGAGACAGGCAATACTTATTATTTTTCCATAAAGGAGCCAAAAAGTCACGTTTCGATCTAGAGAAATACAATCAACTCAAGGATGCAATTGCTCAGGTAAGTTCTATAAGAATTAAATGAACCCAGCCCCATCTTAAAAACATCATTATTATGTAAGAAGTGGGAAATAGTAAGAGCTGGAGGGGACGGGAACTCCACAAGGAGAGCAACAGAACAAGATAATTTGAACACAGGGAACTTCCCAGAGACTCATACTCCAACCAAGGACTATTCGTGGAGATGACCTGGAACCCCTGCACAGGTGTAGCCCATGGCAGTTCAGTGTCCAAGTGGGTTACATAGTAATGGGAAGAGGGACTGCCTCTGACATAATCTGATTGGCCTGCTCGTTGATCACTTCCCCCTGAGGGGGGAGCAGCCTTACCAGGCCACAGTAAAGGACAATGCAGCCACTTTTGATGAGAACTGATAGACTAAGATCAGAAAGAAGAGGAGAACCTCCCCTATCAGTGGACTCGGGGAGTGGCATGCATGCAGAAAGGGGAGGGAGGGTGGGATCGGCAGGGGAGGAGGGAGGGGCTTATGGGGGGATACAAAATGAATAAAGTGTAATTAATAAAAAAAAAGAAGAAAAATAATAATATTTAAATAAATTAAAATATATACTAAATATAGATGATTTAGGCAAAAAAAAAAAAAAAACAAAAAAACATCATTATTATACGTAAACCATGGTCCTTCAAATGGGCAGCCTGAAGGAGGAAGCCAGCAACTGTTTCCTATCTCAAAACAAACAAACAAAAAAATGCACTGACTGAGTAAAATACTTAAACAGATATCAAACAAATAAATAGCATCTTAAATGCCAGGAGTTAAAACTTTGGCTCCTCCTGAAGGTTTCTGGAGAGATGCTGTCATGGATGTCTGAGAGGGCCCCTGTGTTGTTAGGCTGAGCAGTTCTGCTTTTCTGGGAGACTGTGTGGACAGCTCTGCCTTGGGCTAAAGACGTTTTTCTTCTGATTTTCAGAGTCCCTGAAAAAGACTCTGGGAAGAAGAAGAGCTGTTCCCTTTCTCAGGAGGCAGTAATGTTGCTGAAAGCTTCATTAGCTGCTCTTCCTCACCTGTCGTTTCTATTTTAGGCAGAAATGGACCTTAAGAGACTGAGAGACCCATTACAAGTACATCTGCCCCTCCGACAAATTGGAGAAAAGGAATGATCCAAGATGATCGTGAATCCCGGCAGAGAGAGCACCTGTTTGTAACTCATGCCTTTTTAATTAAAGCATTACAGGTGGAAGCTGGGGCCATGTGGGGTAGAGGGTTTTTACCTTTAATTCTAAAACAAAACACAGAAAGAATCTTAGGGGAAAAAGGGATATCAAATTCTGAGGATCAGGCATCGTGGAACACAAGTGCAAAGGGCTTAGTGAATCTTGTCTTATGCATCTTCGTTTCTGAATGAGAATGATGCAGTCACAGCCAAGAGCGAAGCAAAGGTGATGCTGGGGTGTTCATTTCTTGCATCTTTGCAGGGTCTGCAAAACACTAATACACCAGCATCCCATTCAGCTCTAGGTTCATTTTTTATTTGTTTGTTTTTAATTTAAAGTTTCTTATTTTTGACATAGGAATAAATAGCTATATAAGAAAAGGAAATCTTATGATACCTGGTTGGCAGAGTCTAATCCAGTGCAGTCAGCCTTCGTTTTAAACTGGCCCCAGCTCTGCAGAGTTAGGAGAATCTCTCCATCCTGCACCCCTTTTCTCACCACCTACCTACTTATGTATACCTGTTGGTTACACTACTTTTATCCAAATAATTATTGGAATCAATTTACAGTTGTTTGATGATTGATGCTTGGATGATTGACACTTCTCATTATCTTGTAATGAGTTCTCATGTCTGTCTCCCAGGGCTCTGAATCAGTATCTAGAAATCACTGGCAATACTGCATGACATTTTTGTTAAATTTTGGTTATTATTGTTTTTTTTACTAATTAGTCTTCAGAGGAGGAAAAGATTCCCTCTTTTATATGCTGATCCCATTAAAAATCTCCACGTCCTTCCCACCACAGATCAGAGGGCCAGTGTTCATCCATGATACCAAACCAAGGAGGATGCGGCGAGGTTTACAAATTGGCTAAAAGTCATGGCTTTGTAGCTGTTTCAGAACCAGGATACTCTTCGGTGATCCAAGACACACGCTTCCTCATTGTGCGCCCTCCCAACTCTACCACTCCAGTTGCTGTATATCAAGGGTGCATCTCAAAGGGTGCAATTATCTTTTTACAGGAATACCTTTCTATGGCTTCCTTTAGACTACCTTCTCCACCATGTTTCTTTTTATCTTAATTACTCTTATACTCTATCAGAATGTTTTCTACCACATTTCCAGATGGCACCTACACTCAAAAATCATAGGAACCTCTGTCTACTGTCCTGTTTTTTAACTGTTCTGGGGGCAGGATGGCAAGAATGATGGGAGCTTGCCACACAGCTGATTGGCTTTTTTCCTTCACATGATTCATCCCTCCTCATGGGGCAAGGGGTTTCTTTTTCCTCCTCCTCTTGGGATCATTGTGTACGAAAGACACACCCAGATTGTGGATGAAAGGACAAACCCAGACTCCAGGTGCCTTGCAGAGATCGAAGGCAGCCGGGACTGCCGCTTTCGCCACCACCCTTAACTGGCATGACAGATGAAAGGATGCATGTCCCCAGCCCGCCTCCTCCTTCCTTCCTGTTGTTCAACCTCTCCCTCGTTTCTTTTCGTTGTGTAGATTATTTTTAAACCATTTATCCTGTTTGTGTGCAGGATTCTTTGGAAGGAACGGCACAGTGCAATGAGCAAATCTTCTGGGTGGTGTGGGTGGCAAGGGGGGGCCCGAGCAAAATGCAGAACACGTGTACAATCCTGTATCATTTATGAAATATGTATAAAAAGCAATGTACCTTCTGGAACAATAAATACTTATTCAATTTTTGAATCATAGCATCTTGTTCTTTAAAACAAAACCAGAAAGAAACTGCCTTTCCTAGGATTGTAGCCGGGAAGATTTTTCCATCTAAAGTTAGATTTAATAAAGCCTGGGCATGGTGACACACACATTTCATTCTATTTTTCACTCAAGAGGCAGGTGGATCTCTGTGAGTTCCAGGCCAGCAGAAGCTACACAGTCATACCCTGTCTCAAGAAACAAGCAAAAATAAATAAATAAAATAGATTTTTATAAAAATAGTAGTATCAAATTATGCTTTTCTTTCTTGGAACTTGTATATCATTAATTCTTCCGAACATAAATGGATATTCCCAATTTTCCAGAGCCACTTAGAGGTCAAGTCACTGCTCTAGTCACTATAAAACAGTATTGCAACTGACACCCTCACCTTTTAATATACAGGGAAGAAAAAAATCACTTTTATGTCATTCTACCTTCATTATCTGGTACTCCAGAAAGTTTTTCAAAGATAAATCAAACTAAATATTTATATTTTCAAAAGTTGAATCATGTTTATAATGCTCACTAACTGAGTAGGAAATTATCATGGGGGACCACCATTGTCGAAGGTACATCAAAAAGCAACATGGAACCTGGCTGCTCTGGGGAAGAGTGAGCTGCTCATAGAGCCTGCGGAGTGCCGTGCATCCCCTGCAGCTAGCCCCACTGGATAGCCTGAGGCAGGGGAAGTGTAAAGTAGGGAAGGGGGAAATGCTGGGCCATTGTTAGTAGGCAACATTCTGTTTGACTCTACCTGAGCTGAGGTAGAATTGAGAGCGAATTGTGGACTACTCTGTGGGAAGTGGGCAGGCAGGTCATTGTTCTTTCCAAGACGCCGGTATATCTGTGAGATGTGCATGTGACAGCTACGTCGTGGGTTTTCATGGCAAATAACTGAGATAATATTTGAGTTCTGTTACACAGTGCTTTGCAAATTATCCAGTAAGTAATAGAATAGTTGAAAGCAAAGTCAAACAGAATGCCCATAAGATTCAGCAATCCCACTTGTAGGTCTGTGTTGGAAAGAATCTGAGGATTCAAATAGTGACAGCATTATTCAGCTTAGCCAAAGGTGGAAGAAATGCAAGTGTTCCTAAGCACAGTGCTATATACAGTGGCAACAGAGGGATAGTTGTGGCCACAAAAGCTGGAAATTCTGACATGCTCTAACATGGCTGAACTTTGTCAATAAAATGCTAACTAAAAAAAAAAGAAAAGGAAAAAAACGCTTTATGATTCCACATGTGTAAAATATCTAATCAAATTCACAGAAATATAAATGATAGTTTTTGGGAGATCTTTGTTAGGAATAGTTTGCCGTGTGTAAAGCTGGGAATTCTCCCTAGAGCCAGAGTGTGGTCGTCACTCATCTGTCACTGGATGTGGCAATGCAATTTGGCCGAGGGACTTGAGCTTTTACAGCTGAGACTAGCTCTGCACCTCCCAGAACCTACTAGAATTGCAAGTTCTCAGACCTCTGAGCAGCCAGCAGTCAGTGTCCAGCAAGCACTGCTGACAAGTCTGTGGAGACCATGGTCCGGATGAACCATCACTCCAGAGAAAGAAGGGAAAGAGGAGGCCACGCATGTGGCCTCCAGTGAGTCACAGCACTGGACCAGCTTGGAGGGCTGGTGAGCAGCCTGGGGCCAGTGATGCGGTGTTGAGCACACTGATGGTGCCTTCACACACAAAGAAAGAGGATTGGCTTTTAAGTCATATCTAAAAGAATTTCAGGAAGAGGAAAACTCCTTAGGTTTAGGGACTCATGCTTTCACCACAACTTTTAAGTGTGGCCATCCATTTTTCATTAACTGTTTTGATTGACAGTTTACATGTGTACACAATGTCTCCTGACCATTTCCCCTAACTCTCTCCCATCTCGCTGCTACAGCTGTTCATCTTTCTTAGTGCATGTCTGTACATTCTATTTAGTGACCCGCTGAGTAGCTTAACTGAGTTTAACTGTTTAGTTAGCTACTGTAGTTAACTTAGTTTAACTGTGAGTGAGGGGCTACTCCTCCCAGCCTGCTGGCTGCGGTAGTGTGTACACTACTGAAGACAGTGACTCCCCCTTTCCCAGAATCCATCAGTAGCCAATAGTTCAGCAGCAAGGGATAGGGTCTCATGAGCCCCTACCCCACCATGACAGATCCTTGACAGGCCCAGCCTTGTACAGGTAACTGTGGTTGTCGGTTCACGATTGGAATTGTGTCAAGCCTAGAAGGCATTTGAAAGCTTCTCACCCTGTCTTCTTCTTCTGTGCTTCACCCCCTCTTCCTCCATTTTGCCTGACCCTTACTGGGGAATGACGTAAATGCCGTTGATTTTTTTTTTCTTTTCAGTACCACTGATCTTTACTTTTCTTCTCCCAAAGAAGTCGCTTACCATGTATTCCATAAAGCACCTTTTTATGTTACTTCCTTGGGATCGTGCTGAATGTGAAGTTATCTGCTTTACTAGTTCATATTTGCATGTCATTTGCATATGCATTATAAGTGAGGCACACACTAAACAGAGTCATCTCCTTCAAACATCTCAGCCCCTGTGACTCAGCTCTCAGGATTTTCCTCTTCAACCACATACTTGGTTAACTTCCCACAACACTCCACCCTGGAGCACACTTCCCGTGGGCAGCCTCACCCACTCCCTCATCCCGGGTACCACTGATGTGTTGAAAGCTGTCTCCATCTCTCCAGAACAGCAAGCTGGTTTCCTTTCCTCTAGGTTGATGTACTGACCTCTGTGTGCTAAGTTCCTTCCATGTCACAAGGGTATTTGGAAGCTTAAATCTTAATAACACATACTTTAGAAGAATTGAAAATACAAATAAGTGGGCTGTCCAGACAGCTCAGTGGTTAAGAGCACTGGCCTGCTCTTCCAGAGGTCCTGAGTTCAATTCCCAGCAACCACATGGTGGCTCACAACCATCTATAACAGGATCTAATACTCTCTTCCGTCATGCAGGCATACATGCAAATAGAGTGTGTACATGTATAAATAAATCAATGTTTTATAAAAGGAAATACAAATAAGTGATAATATGGGGTGGGGGGACTAAAAGGTGAAATGAACAACTCTGAAATGTGGAACATTTTGCAAGCCGATGGTTAGATGACTGGTCATTTTCAGCAAATAGTATAAAGGAAGAGGCCATAATAAAATTTAAGTGACACAGCAAAATGCAGTATATAGTAACTCTTAACTCTTAACTCTTGTTAAGTCCTGACTCAAACTAGCAATAAAAATGAGCATTTGAAACTATTGGGAAAGCTGAGCATGGGTAGGGTATCTGTTAATATTGAAGGATTATTCCTGACTTTCATAGCTAATAACAGCCTCATGGTTACATAAATAAGACCACATCTTAGGAATGCACAGTGGAATATGAACAAAATAAAATTAATAAACTGCTTAATGAGCTTTGCAGCTGGACACTCAGCATTGTTCTTCTGACTTTTGTATATATTTAAGTTTGTAAACCTTTTTTTAAAGGTGGGTCAACTAAAAGGAAAAAATAGACTTGAGAGTGGGGGAAGAGAGGATCCTGCCATCCCGGGGATTCTTGTTTATAGAACCAAAGGGCCGTCTGGTGAAAGTCCTTGACTCCAGCAATCAATCTTGGCAACAAACCTGGGTTTATCTCATGCACTCTGGTCCTTTGTTTTTTTCAAACACATATGAAGCTCCCAGATGGCCTCTCAGGGGCAGGAAACCATGAAGCTTGTTTTTTGTATGTGTGTTTTGTTTTCTTTTTCTTTGTTAAAAGCAGCAACAGCATTGCTCTGCCGTGGGAGTTCCCCGGTCATCACTGCCATCAGCCCACAACTTAAGAAGCTAATGATCAAATTGCCTGGATCCTAGCAGTGAGAAAGTAGTTTCCTGCAAGCTCAAATCCATGTAACCCCTTGTTTACCTGTAACTCGACTGGTGCCTCTTTCATTTACTATCACAGTCTGGTATTTAGCATCCCTCTGGCCCTTAGTAAGCACTAACAGTTTCTGGAAATGACACATTTAGAAGAAAGAAGCCACAATCATTGGGAAAAAGTAACGTGCTTAAGAGACCATAAAAACAAATTGTAAGTAAGGGCTGCCTTCACTCAAAAGGATTCTCTTCCCAGTTGCTAGAAATATGGTTACTGGAATACAAACCCAGGCAAGAAGAGAATGTGGCAATAAGTAACCAAATCTGTGGCTCTGGAGTTATAAAAGCTGAATTGGGAGAGAGAATCTCCCTCAGATATGTTTCAAATAGTTAACAGACACGTTAGCCACCCACTGGTGTCGCCCCCTTGCATTGTCTCTGATTGTAATGGCTGGTTCTTAGTGCCCACAGCCTAGAATACCAGAGACACCACATCTGAAGTTACCTGGTAATGTGTGCTGTCCCCTCGGTTCCCCTCTTCAGTCAAAAGCAAAGCTCTAGGCAATTTTAAACTTTCCCAGATTTTGTTAATTTATGGGCAGTTCCAAATTTTAAGTCCCTGCCCGTTTTTGTGTGAGAATTGGTGAAACAACTCCTAACACCTCTGCTTCGTGAGGAAGCAATGCAGCATGGCAACAGGAGGCATCACTGTGTGGTTGGCGATGCCAGCGTGAGGTTTGTCTCTTCAGGAGCTCTGAGACTGGAGACCAGAATAAGACAAACCTTGGAACTTGTCCAATCCCAGCCCCTCACAGGGCTCTGGTGTGTGAGTGTGCGCGAGAGAGACAGAGACAGAGAGAGAGGGTGTGTGTGTGCTCCTGGATCAGACTGAGACATTTCCCCAGTATGCAGTTCCAGCTCAGTGGCTTATCCTGTTCCCACTGACGGAAGCTGCACAGTGCCCCAGCTGCAGCATCAGGAAGGCAGTTCCTAGAAGTCACAAAACAAGATTTTGACGTGAGGGTATATCTCTCAGTGAGAGTTCCCTTCTGGATAAGATACCGAAGGCTCCATTACAGGGAATTCTTCAGAGGGGGAAAAAAAACCAAAAACAAAACAATAGGAGGATGAGGGATACTGAGGGTGGTTTTGGTTTTGTTTTGTTTTGTTTTGTTGTTTTCCTCTAAAGAGATGTATCAGTAAAATAGTGCTGTTGACAGTGAAGAGCATGGCCTCTATCTGGAGTCAAGGCCAGCACAGTAGAGGCTCTATCTCACTCATCCTCTTCCGCTGTTCCATAAGGTCCCAGCCAGTGCTGAGATAGATTTTCTTTTTCAGAGCCTAGAGGTATTTTTTTTCCTAAGTACTTGAAAACAGAAGAAAGGAAAGCTGTCACTGAGAGGACTTTCCACTCTGCTCCTGGCAGCTGGATCAGAACGATGGCCCTGTTTCTGCTGCTCACCTGCCTCGTCACTCCCATCACCCCAGTGTCACCCATGGGTGAGTCTTGTGTCAAGAACTTGGCACAATGTGTTTTTACTGCTGTTTCTGTATCAGATGGTAAGGACTAGACAACAGAGCCTTAAATATGGCCCTGCAGTTGAGAAAAGTCATTCAACCTACAAGGATATATGCCCAGAAAATTTTTGATGTATGTTCATTTACCCGAGGGTCCAGAACCTCCATGGATCTTTTGTCTCTAAAACCCTCCTGTGAGCTGAATCATTCTTGGAGTACACATAAAAAGATATTCTGAACTTTTTCTGGTGTAGGCACTTTAGAATTCCAACTTTAAGAATGGAAGTGATTATTTTTTCTTTTAGAAATGAGGGTAGAGCTTTTTCATTAATCAATAAAAGGGACCAAATGTTCTGTCCCTGTGAAGGGCACAGATTTGGATAAAACAAGTATTAAGTTTGGCCTCTAAAACTACGAGGAACTTTTTGCACAGACCAACCAACTTTTGGGCTGTTTCTCTTGGGTTTGGCACAAAACTGGCCAACGAGGATCTTTCTGGGCATTTCTGTGTGGCTCAGTGTGTGGCTGGCCTAGTTTTTTCTCTGCAGTAACGTGGGCCATGTTCTGGCATCTTCAAGCATATACAAGTATTAAGCCTGAAGCCCGGCAGTGGTGGCACAGGTCTTTAATCCCAGCACTTGGGAAGCAGAGGCAGGCATCTCTGTGAGTTTGAGGTTAGCCTGGTCTACAGAGTGAGTTCCAGGGCTACAAAGACAAACCCTGCCTTGAAAAACAAAAAATAAAATAAAATAAAACAATGAAAAAGTTTGAACCCTGAGGAAATCTGCCAGCTACATGTAATGCAACATCCTGGATGAGATCCTGGGACAAGGGACAACGTAGATAAAAAGTAAGACAACATGAATGGTTATAGGCCTGAGTTAATAATATCCCAACAGGGGTTCGCTGCTTGGAACACAAGGAAGAAGGAGTGAGAAGTTAGATGCAAGGAATGCGGAACTTCTAGGCACAGCAAAGGGACAAGGGCTGCAAAGACTATGATCTGCACAATGCAGGGGCTCTCAGGTACACCAGCCTCCCAACAACGACAAGATAGTTCTCAGATATGTCTGCTCAGGTGCCGAGATGCCTGAATGTGCTGCTGAGCCACTGAGCCCCTAGCTGGGAGGGGGCTCTGAGAGTTGAGGAGCACACAGGATTGTTCTGTCAAGCGCTGGCGCTAAGGACTACATGAGCTGATTAGGATCAATCTGTATAATGCCACATTCTTGGCTCCACATCGAGACTGAAAACAGGATTGAACACAGAAAGAGCATTTTTTTTCCCTTTTTCTTTTTTTTAAATTTAATTTAATTTTTTTCTTATCAGTTACATTTTATTAACTCTGTATCCCAGCCGTGTCCCACTCCCTCATTCCCTCCCTCTCTCCCTCATCTCCACCGTGCCCCTTTCCAAGTCCACTGATGGGGGGACCTCCTCCTCATTCATCTGATCCTGTTTTATCAGGTATCTTCAGGACTGGCTGCAAAGCCCTCCTCTGTGGCCTAACAGGACTGCTCCTCCCTTGGAGGGGTGGGGAGGTCAAAGAGCCAGCCATTGAGTTCCTGTTAGAAATAGTCCTTGTTCCCCTCACTATGGGAAACCAATTGGTTACTGAACTACCACAGGCTACATCTGAGCAGAGGTTCTAGGTTATATCCATACATGGTCCTTGGTTGAATGACAGTCTCTGAGAAGACCCTTGTGGTCCTTGTGGAGCTCCTATCCTTTCCCCATCATACTAACTCCCCTTCTTTCATATGATTCCCTGCACTCTGCCGAAGGTTTGGTCATGAGTCTTTGTATCTGCTTTGAAAACACTGCTAGTTAGAGTCTTTCAGATGCACTCAGTAGACTCCTGTCATACGTTCAATGCACATCCCATCTGTCTTTCTAAACGAGGATTGATCATCTTACCCCATGTCCGCTCTCTTGATAATCTTTTTTAGGTGTATAGATTTCATTATGTTTATCATATCTTATAGGTCTATATAAGTGAGTATATACCGTGTTTGTCTTTCTCCTTCTGGGATATTTCACTCAGAATGATCTTTTCTAGACCCCACCATTTGCCTGCAAATTTCATGATTTCCTCCTTTTTGATTGCTGAGTAGTATTCCATTGTGTAAAAATACCACAATTTCTGTACCCATTCCTCCGTTGATGGACATCTGGGTTGTTTCCAGGTTCTGGCTATTACAAATAAAGCTGCTATAAACATGGTTGAGCAAGTATACCTTTTGTGTACTTGAGCAAAGTTTGGATATATACCTAGCAGTGGTATAGCTGGGTCTTGAGGAAGCACTATTCCTAATTGTCTGAGAAAGCGCCAGATAGATTTCCAGAGAGAGGTTGTGGAGAAAGGGGAACCCTCCTCCACTGCTGGTGGGAATGTAAACTGGTACAGAATGAGCATTTTTAAAGAGGGTGGAAGAATTTAATGTTAGAAAATATCCAATGACTGTGTTTGTATAACATTCTATGTATGGCTACACAGCAGATGGTGGGTCAACTTCTCTTCTTCAAGCACCATTCCTCTACAACAGGAAGGCAACTAAATTTTTCAACAGTATAAGAAATGACATTTACCTTTAAAGAAAACTTCAGAAATCATGGAATAGTCATTACAGAAGTTGCTGTCAATGCCATTAAAGATGGAGTGTCTGACCATTTCTTGTAAAATTAGAGCCAGGGAGATGAGTGAACTATTTCTATGAATTTATAATCACCCGTGAAATTGCTCTGGAAGCCTTGCTGGGCTGGAGAGCCAGAAAGGCAGAGGATATCTCCCAGTGGGAGAGGGAGGAGGAACTTGAGAACATTTCCTCCTCTTGAGGGAACATTGAATTACCATGTAGCGCTCAGCTAGGGCAGCTCACAGGCATTTTAAAGACTTTGGGAGGAGCGCACAGAACTTGAAGCAAAGGTTTCTTGTGCCATCTACAGCTCTGCAAATGTCATTTCCAGAAAGTGCAATGTCCTGATCACTTCTTGCCCCAGACTGCCAAGTTATTTCCCGCATCCATTTGTCAGGTTGCTGTGTATTTCAAATCAACCGGCTGTGTGCTTTGGGCCTTTTGCCTTTCAGTGGAATGAGCTTTACACATTCTTTATTCAGCCAGACTTCATACTGGTGCAAGATCTGGCTGTCATTTTTGCAAAAGCAATTCAGCTTTTCCTCCTTTCTTTTCTTTTATAATTTCCAAAACTGGGGGCTAATTGCATTGTAACACAGTCTCTCCCATGACTGGACAGATGAACCGCAACATGCTTTTCTACAATCATCTGTTCTTATCCTTGTATCAAAATACCTAGCTCCTTTTATATGAGATCCACTTGGTATATTGATTTACTTACTCATTCATTCATTCTGGTGCTGGCAGGAACATAGGACCTCATGCACACCAAACTCAGGCTGTCACACTGCCAGATATGGCACAGACTGTTAATCCCAGCACTGAAGAGGTCAAGACAGGAGAATTCTTCGGGTTCACTGGCCAGACAGTCTAGCCTAATCAATGAGCCTCTGGCCAGAGAGAGACTCTGCCTACAGCAAACAAAATGAATGGCTCCTAAGGCAGGACACCTGTGGCTGACATGTGGTTGCTCATGGGTGCATGTACAGGCACACACACACTTTTTGTTCGAAAAATTGAAATGCAAGATGGTGGTGGGAGTAGCTGTTGGCACTGTGCTCTGAGGCATCACCCGTGTCTCTGAGCACCCTTTCATCCCCAGCCCTAGATCCTTGCTCCGCTTACATCAGTCTGAATGAGCCCTGGAGGAACACTGACCACCAGTTCGATGAGTCTCAAAATCAGCCTCTTTGTGACAACCATATGGACGGGGAATGGTATCGCTTCACAGGTATGGCAGGAGATGCCATGCCCACCTTCTGCATACCAGAAAATCACTGTGGGACCCATGCACCTGTCTGGCTCAATGGTAGCCACCCCCTAGAAGGTGATGGCATTGTGCAACGCCAGGCCTGTGCCAGCTTCAAAGGGAACTGCTGTCTGTGGAACACCACGGTAGAGGTCAAGGCCTGCCCTGGAGGCTACTACGTATACCGGCTGACCAAGCCCAGCGTCTGCTTTCACGTCTACTGTGGCCGTACGTATGCATGTTCTCTCATGCCTCCCCAGCAAGGCCACAGATGGAGTTAAAGAGAAAGACAGCATATGAGTCTGAGTTATTGTGACCACGTTTAGTTTATGTTTATTCATTAACACAATAAGATGAGAAGTGATGGATTTTCAACTTCCTGAATATGGAGGAGCCCTCTGCAATCTACCTGTTGATAGATGATCAATAGGTGGACAGATAGAGGCCCAGACAGCCACATGGTAGCTTTGGACTTGCTGTCACTGCTTTTTAGAAATGATACACTTAGAGAGGGGCAGGAAAGAGATGAGGGAGGAAGGGTGGAAGGGTGGGGTTGGGAGGGAATGTGAGGGAGCTACAGCTGGATACAAATAAACTGTAATTAATATTAAAAAAATAAAAATCCAATTAAAAAAAGAAATGATACATAATGGGAAGAGGCAACTTTCTGTCAATATTACTTTTAAGTGAATTTCTATATCACTTAAGCCATCTAAATCTGGAGACTTCATAAACACTCTTAATGGTGGCGCTCAAATGCAAGGCCTCGCAGAAGCTGGCTTTCCCAGCTCCTGTGCAAATTTTGGAGAGTCCACAGTGAAGCCTGACCTAACCCTTCGTGCCTAGTTCATAGGCACTGAGACTTTTTTTTTTAATTTTTTTTTAATTTAAATTTAATTTTTTTTAAATTTTTTTTTAATTTAAAAAATTTAAAATTTTTTTTAAAAGGTGGCTGAAGTCCTCTGGCCACCATGGGCCTGAGGACAGTAGCTGGAAAGTGGTTGTCTGAATGGAAAGCTGCCCCTGAGCTTCCCCAGCGGATGAGGCAGCCCTGTGCCACAAGAAACGCAGGATGGTGTCTGGGAATGTGTAGCTCATGCTTGCTTTCATGAGACAACTCAAAAGAGAGGGTCCTCCAAGCCTCGCCACTCACAGAAAGTAACTGTTGTCCTTCCATAGATTTTTATGACATCTGTGACGAGGACTGCCATGACAGCTGCTTGGACACCACCGAGTGTGCATGCTCTCCTGGAACCTCCCTGGGCCCAGATGGGCAGACTTGCTTTGGTAAGAGTAGTCCCATGATCCTCAGGATCGAAGAGACAAATCAGAGCTCCACTGCAGTCGCAGTGACTCTCTGAGCATCTGCAGCTGAGCTTGTCTTCACTGTTCATGACTAAAGCACAGAACAAGCTCATGGTGTGATCAGGGACAGTCTGGAACGGCACTGTCTGCTCTAGTGGCTGCTGCTCCCTTGTGGTTATGAAACCATTGAGAAGTGGCTAGTGTGCCGGAGGATCTGAATCTTAATTTTACTAAATTTTAATAGAAAAGCTGACTTTTGATCTAGCTATTGGGAAAAAATAAATAAATAAACATCTGGGACAACTGGAATGCTAAATTTGTGTTTTTACTAACTATAAATACAGAATAAATGTTTCTGGTCAAAACTGGCATCCATTAAGGTGTGGTGCATTCTCTAACTCTAGTCCTGAGGAGGCTGAGGCAGGAAAATGGTGAGTTCAAGACCACCCTGAGTTATATAGCCAAGAGTCAGTCTTAAAAACCTAAAAAATTTGACATCCAAGTTGAGACATACTAGAAAAGTCATTTCAAAGTAGGTTCCAAAACATGTATTATTTTTTTATGTGTATTTCCTTTAGGCAGATATAAAAGTGGATGAGACTATTCCAATTTTTAAAGCTAATTTTTGAGGGTGTTTTGTCATGCAAAAACAGAAGACAATCTCACACAATATTTTGCTAGATTTTCCTTCCGTACTGTAAGCTCCTTCTGTGCTTTAAAATAAAATATAATTTATAGCCTTGCATTTCATAAATTTTCATGAGCTTATTAGAGAAAGAGGAACTCACAAAAACAAGTATGTGTAGCCAGCATACAAAAGGTCTCACCTTATTACACGCATTTATTGTGTGCATGCCCATGTATCGCACCATGCATGTGGAGGTCACAGGACAACTTCCACCATGTCTGTCCCACTCAGACCCTGGCGGTCAAGTTGAGCGGAAAGTGTGATCATCTTGCCAGCCTCATAGTTCTACCCTAAAAGCATCCAAATTCACAGTGCTCAGGCACCTTTTGCTTGTGCGAGGACAGAAGACCGGAACGAAAGGCTTGGTTAGGGAGACCAGGCCCACCAGCCTGCTGGGGGCCGGGCTACCCCACAGCCTCTGAAAGGACTGGGGATGCTCGGGGGCTGGGTTGTGAGGTTGCTCAGCCATGTGGCGGGCATGTGGTTTCCCTTCTACAGATGAGAACGAATGTGAGCAGAACAATGGTGGCTGCAGTGAGATCTGTGTAAATCTCAAAAACTCACACCGCTGTGCCTGTGGGGTCGGCCGCGTGCTCAGGAGCGATGGAAAGACTTGCGAAGGTGAGACTGGGTGGGGAGGGGCTGCAAGCCCAGCATCCAGAGGAAGCCACCAGCTTGTTCTTTGACATTTGGGAAGCTGGCGTGGTGGTCCAGGAAACTGTCAGCATAGTGAAGTGACCACAGGGCTTCATAGGCACTGAAGACGCTTCAACCTGTGGACAGAATTCAGTATTGATTTTGTCTTCAAGACAGACGAGGAAGGGAGTTTTGCAAGAAGCAGAATGCTTTGTGGAAACTGAAATGGACTAATACTTTTCCAAACTTAAATGTGCCCAGAAATCCCATAGGATTTTGTTAAGTTTCAGATTCTGACTGATAGGGCTGGGGTCAGGCTGAGGTAGCAACGTTCCTAATAATATCTAGGTGCCCGACCCTGCTGGCAAGAAGCCGAGAGCAGCAGGCAGGACCCCAGAGAGCGGAGCATGCTCTGTAGCCTGTTCTCAGCCTTCCTGGGCCTGAGACTGGGCTCCCACCCAACCCCCGCCAGGCCCCTTGTGGGTGGGAAAGTCTGCTTCAGCGGGCCGGATGGGGTCTCAGACCTTATAATTTTAACAGATTCCATGGGCAATTCTTACGGCTTAGAAATTTGAGAAACCCCGGGGCTGCTGCTGTGGTGGTGGTGGCGGTGATTCCCAAGGCAGAGGCAGGCGGATCTCTGTGAATTCGAGGCCATCCTGGTCTACTGAGTGAGTTACAGGGACAGCCAGGGCTACACAGAGAAACCCTCTCCTCACACCCTCCCCCACCAACAAAAAAAAAGAAAGAAAGAAAATCTGAGAAACTTCTTTTCCATTGACTTATTTTTGTCTTTGTTTTGAATGGGGATTAATGTATTTTTGAGATAAAACTATCTACTTAATTATTTTTTTGCCTGCATGTATGTATGTATAGCACAAGAGCGCCTGGTGTCCACAGGGGATGGAAGAGGAAGCAGGAGCCCCAGAAACCGGAGTTACTGGTGGTGGTGAGCCCCCACGTGGGTGTTGGGAACCGAAGAACAATTGCACTGATCCATTTCCCCTGTCCCAAAGTAATCTACTTAAAAGATTTATTTATTTGCATGTGTATGGATGTTGTCTGCATGGATGCCTGGCACCATGTGCCTGGTGCCCAAGGAGGCCAGAAAAGGGCCTCATGTCCCCTGGAGCCAGAGTTATGGATGGTTGTGAGCCACCCTGTGGGTGCCGAGAATCAAGCCCAGGTCTCCTGGAAACAGCCACCAAGCCTCTCCCTAGCCCCATCCTCTCCTTTCAACGACACGCCTTAGCAACAAAAAACTTACTGAGGTATTTCAAGGAACTGAAATGAACTCGTCTGTTCCTACTCCATTACTTTTTAACTGATACAACATTTCATATATCTATGGGTAATGATTCAGAACTCTGCTACTGTTCGGTGGGACTCAGGTCAGGTGACATCACATCTGCTTTCACAAATCTGAGTTGCCCTAACACTCTATGCAGCGTGTGCCAGGGGGAGGTAAATGCATAGTTTACAGAGGATATATGATTTGTCCTTCAAGACCATTGAACTTGTATATTAATAGAGCTATAATCTAAATATAAGAATTCATTTTAGTCTCATCACATTCAAAATAATATTGAGTAGTGTCCTACAAAGTTTGCATTATTAACTCAGAAAACATTAGCTGGAGTATTAAACTGCTGTTCTTATAACAAGGCTAAATTATCTTGAATTTTATTGAATAATTATAATGTCTGGACTCCTCCCTAAATCTTAATAATTTTGCATAATAATTTCTGCATATTTGAATATTATAAAATATTTCATGATGAACATTTGTAATTATTCATGAGAACATTATTGAGACTATTATGGTTAATATTCACATAATCTTAAAACCTAATAACCATAACTGAAAAATATTTAGCAAACAATAAAAATTTTATGCATCTATATGAGCAATACTTTAAGAACTTAGGAATACGGTTTCTATTTGTAACATTTAACTTTTATTGAAAGGCTAAATGTATTTGTTTCTTTAGTGTGGCTATTAAAAGTTTATTGCTTTTTAAAAAATTAATTATACCTTTAAATTTCTAAGCAAATTTTAATGGTTTAATATAAATAGGAAAATATAGAAAAGGAAAAACTGTAAATGACCCTCAGCCTCTGTTGCTAAGTAGTTCTGCCCTGAATATTTTGTTCCACCTTCCTGAGAGGATGAGAGGACCTTAAATCCTGTAAGGGTTTTTGGTCTATTTTTTGTTTTGCATTTTTAGACCTGAAAAGGCCCGGTGTGATTAATTAGGGTTACCCCTTCATCTTACAAATATTGAAACTGCAACTTAGAGAAATAAAATGACTTAAGAACGGTCATTTTGAGGGTGGAGGGCAAGCAGAGTGCTTGCTGAGCATGGCAGGACCCGGTATGGTCCCCAGCACTGAAGAGAACTCTTCTTCTAGAAGAAAAAAGTATTAATGTTGAGTTTTGAGACAGTGTCTCACTATGTACCCTCAGCTGTCCTGGAGCTTGATATGTAGACCAGGCTGGACTAGAACTCACAGAGATCCACCTGCCTCTGCCTCCAAAGTGCTGGGAATAAAGGTGTGTGCCACCACTCCCAGTGATTTTAACACTTCATAGCATAGTAGCATGGTTTATATTTTCTTCTACCTTGTTTTCTATAATCTGAACTCTTTTTAAAATCCACAACTGCATACACCCTTTAAAAGTATATGGATTGTCCAAGGCTGGTGAAATGTCCCAGTGGGTAAGGGCACGTGCTGCCAAACCCGAAGACCTGAGTTTGCCCCCTGGGACCCACATGCGAGAGGGAGAGAACCAGCTCCCACAAGTTGTCTCTGATCTCCACACACACTGTGAGTTTGCTGTACACACACATGCAAGCATGCACAAGACATACACTGTGGCTTTCCTCTGCACGCAAGTTGCACACATGTGCACACACACTGTGACTTTGCTATACATACACGTACAGACACATAAGCACATACACTACATAAATATTTTTAAATATCATAGATGAGTTTCTAAACAGGTAGCAAAGATTAACTCATTGTAGCTTTACTCTCTTACATTTCCCAAGTGCTGATTTATATATACCAACTTAGTTTACTTATGATCCACTAACCTGTTTTACTAGCACCCTTAAAAATCAGCTTCCTCTCTCTCTGAGGATTTCAGATGATCTGAAACATTTCTTTCCATCATCTTAACTTAGAACAGAGCTCAGCAAACTTTTACCATAAAGGTCAGATGATAAATACTTTGTGGACCATCCAGAATCAATCAAAAGCACATAGTTCTGCCCTTCTAGTAAAAAAATAAAAATAAAAAATAAATTTAAAAATTTAAATTAAAAATAAATAGCCATAGACAATAGTCAGCTAACAGTCATGCTTATGTGTGCTAATAAAACTGTATTTAAACACTGTGAGCAGGTTAGAATTTGACAGCCCTCAACCTAAAAGACAATGTTCAAGTCCCACAAAAGTCATTTTGGTGGTGATTAAGATTACAGCTACTGACATGCTGGGGCAGAGGTGGAACCTGGGGCCTTGGGAATGGTAGGCCAACATTCTATGCCTGGCCTATGTCTCCAGCTCCCAAGCCTAACCAAGACCTTTCATATACAGTGCTCTTATTCCTAGAGCACCAAGAACAGGGTCAATGATCCAATCTGTAGGACCTCTGACCCACCTAGCTGGTCCAGAAGAACTTTTACCCAATATCTTTTATCCATCAGTAAATCTACAATATTTTAAGTTATATGTATATATTAAATGTCACAACAGTTAAGAAATGGGTTTTGGGGGTCTTACTCATAACATTTATGACCTTATTCTAATCATGAGAAAAATCGAAAGACACTCTACAAAATGCCTGGAGAGCCTCAGTGCATGTTGCTGTATGGAGGATTACTCTTGGCAGTCACAACATTTAACGAACATTTTGTGGGTTTGCCCCATATTTTAGTTACCACATTAGATTGTGGTACAAGGATTGTGCCATGAATCAATAATCTCTGGTGTTAATGCTAGGATTCCTGCAGAAGACAGCTATGTGGTGACTCTCAGTTTTTACTGGTTCCCTCTGCAGACATTGAAGGATGCCACAACAACAATGGTGGCTGCAGCCATTCTTGCCTTGGCTCTGAGAAGGGCTATCAGTGTGAGTGTCCCCGGGGCCTGTTGCTGTCTGAAGATAACCATACTTGCCAAGGTAGGGCAAGGTTTGACTCCCTTCTGAGCCACATACCCTCCCTCCTGCCACCTTTGCCTTCCCTTCTCCCAGACTGTAAGAGTCTAATCTTTCAGCTTCCCTTCTCCCAGACTGTAAGAGTCTAATCTTTCACCCTCTGCTCACCATGTGTCCCCTGAGTCATCATGCAGGGATCCTTCAACAGAGAACACACACACGCACACACACACACACACACACACACACACACACACACACACACACACAGGATGTGATGGCTCATATCTGCACTATCAGCTCCTGGGAGGTAGAGACTAGAGCCCTGCCTGAGAACAAGGCCAACCCAAGCTAAACAGTGAGACCTTGTCTCAAAAACAGACAGGTCTCTCTTTTTTTAAGTCAAGAAAAGCTGATCTTCCTTTGCTGTTTGCCTCTGAGTTGCTCTCTGATTTCTACAGCACCACTACGACTCAGTTTCCAAGTACTGACCCAGTTCTTATTCAGCAATTTCATGGGGCCAAACCTAGCTGGAACGGTGATGAATGATGGCACCTTCCCCACCAACACTGTTCTGAGAACTGTTTTCTAGTTCTTGGTGTCTGGGATGTTAATTCCATCACCCAGGAAACACTAGCTGAGCGCCAATTTCTGATTTCTTTGTTCACCCCCCTGCTGAGATGTGGGTTCACAGGTGTGACACTGGCAGTACCTTACCCAGGATCCCCTGGGGTGTTTGCAGGGTCAGAGAAAATGAACGTAAGAATGCCACAGAAAAGCAACGTCTTTTAATATTAAGGTGGAATTTGTAGTCTGAGTTTACAGTTTACCAAGTAGCTCAAGGACAAATTGCAAGGCTTCCCGAGTAGAGGAAAATGTTCATTACTTGTTTAATGGGGCAGTAACTAATGGTCGAAGCAAAGCAGTTCTGTTGTGCTATTTACACCTATGTCAGCGATGCTTTTCCCGGGCTGCCAGTAAACTGTGTTGACACTAAAGTTCATCCTTGGGGTGTCTCCCTCCATGGAGTTATTTATGCCAGCCACATTTTGGACAGGCATTTGTTAAAACTGAATCATTTCCTATTCAAAAAGAATATGTAATTTGAAGAGCATCGTTGACCATAATCTTGGGAATAAGGGATCCTTGTATTCATTACCTTGCTTCGAGCCCTTTCGTAGAGGAAAGAACAAAAAGTACAGGTTGCATGGAGGAGAAACTATTCCCCTAGAAGCCTTCCTCAGCCTTTCCCTCAGGCCAGGTTTCCTGTTCTAACAGAATCCCTTTTCACACAGTCCCTGTGCTGTGCAAGTCCAGCACCATTGAAGTGAGCGTCCCCAGGGAGCTGGTTGGAGGCCTGGAGCTCTTCCTGACCAACACCTCCTGCCGAGGAGTGTCCAATGGCACCCATGTCAACATTGTCTTCTCCCTCAAGACCTGCGGCACAGTGGTTGATGTAGGTTCCCTGGTGGACACTTGGGGAATGGCCAAGGCTACTTGGGAAGGTGGCTGACAGAGAGTATCCGGTATGGCTTGTGTCGATGAGATACAAGATAGATTCACACAAAAGAACCGAGCTCAAAACATCTTCTGCCCAGTGCCATGGCCCTGGAACCGTGCGGTGTGGAACAAATAATTCTGCCATGCCTGTTCACACACAGCCCTAAGGTATTTTCCCTTATCAAGCCCAGCGGTACCAAGAGGCAGGATGCACCCTCTGTAGTCAGATATGTGGAGACGAAGGATGATGTAGACTGAAGGGCTAGTGTTCACTTGTGACAGGCGAAGGCGTCCAGACATTGATGCAGCCTGAGGCAAAAGGTTTATGTTTGTCTTTTCCAAGATGTGCTCACACTCTTGTGCTGAAAACTCAGAGGAGAATATGGAAGAAAATTCCTGCCTGTTAGGAAACACACAGCAGTATTGAAATGGCAACATATAAAATGTAATATGAGTGGGACTGTCCACATGGCAGAGCCTCTGGGAGTCCATGAAAGGAATGCCTGGCTTGGATCTGGGTAGCACTTGTGTAACTCGCACAAAGGGGCAAAGAGCCTTTGTGATCAGGAGCACAGGAGCAGCAGCTCAAGGGACTCTTCAGGTCAGTGCTAAGGTGACTGGGGTAGAGCAGCCTGCCCTGCAGGAATCCTCAGCAGAAATGAAACTGGAAAGGACATGGGGTGGAGACTGATTCCAAAGGCCTGGCTCCGATCTCAGTGTGCAAGGTGGATGAGGCACAGAGGACGGATCCAGGGCAGGGCAGGGGCCTTAGTCATCAATTCTGAGTCCTGATAAAAGAATCAGAGGGCTGATTACTTTGAGTGAGATTCAAGGTAGCTATGGAGGAGCTGGGTTCCCCACTGAGGCAAGCTGTGTTCCTACGGACAGCCTGAGGGAATACCCCCATAACAGGTTGGTACCACCCCCTGGAGGGAAAGCAGGCCCAGGCTGAAACCTCTCTGCACTGATCATGCAGATTCGGGATGAATTGGGGGTTGGGGGGAAGTCCCCAGCTGTTATGGACATTTTGGTTTATGATATGTAAACATGTTTTTGTTCTAATCCCAAGTATGGGGTTTTCATTTTTCTGCACCTGTTAATTGTCAAAGAAGGTTGTAAGGGAAAGAGGATGTAGCCCTCTTCTTCCTGCTGGGTAGGGTTGTAGGATTCTTTGGGGGATAACACTAGTATCTGACGCCAGGAAATGCAGAAGTCCTGGGAACCAGCAAACAGCAAACACAGCAGCAGGACTGACCGGCAGCAAGCAGTCCTCCTCCATGTGACTGCACTTTTCCCCCTGGGCTGTCGTATTTGTACCCTCAAAGTTCTCAGACTTCAACTAATTCTAGCAGGTAAAGACACGTTCTGCACTAGACAATTAACAGATGTGGACAAACTAAAATCCCCCACTTGGGATTATGACAAAAACATGTTTACATATCATGAAACAAAATGTCCACAACAGAGCTCAGCTGCAGCGGGATTCCTGCTGGGAGAACGGGGCATTGTCCTCTTCGGGATGCCAGAGCGTGGGGTCGCCATTCATCTCCCTAGATCAGCTCTCATGACTATTGCACCAGAGGAATGCCTGAGCTAGCCAAGAAGTACCCAGCATGCCAGTTTAGCAGTCTGCCTGTCTACTAATGAACAAAGAGAAAGGGCTTAGGCAGATGGACTTCTGGCCAGTCCAGAAACACTCAAATTCAAAGCCCCTCTGGCTTAGGGAATGAGATCTGTGATGTTTAACACACCAGGTGCTTGGAGGATGTTAAGGTGAGGAGAGAGGAAAGTAGAAACAAATCTCATAATCTCTAAACCCCCGACTGGCACAGGTGGTGAATGACAAAATCGTGGCCAGCAACCTCGTGACGGGTCTGCCCAAGCAGACCCCTGGGAGCAGTGGTGACATCATCATTAGGACCAGCAAACTGCTGATCCCGGTGACCTGCGAGTTCCCACGCCTGTACACCATGTCCGAAGGGTACGTGCCCAACCTGCGCAACGCCCCGCTGGAAATTAGGAGCCGGAGTCGCGGAATCTTCCCCTTCACGCTGGAGATCTTCAAGGACCACGAGTTCGAAGAACCATACCGTGAGACTTTGCCCACACTCAAGCTTCGTGACTCGCTCTACTTTGGCATTGAGCCACTGGTGCACGTGAGTGGCCTGGAGAGCCTGGTGGAGAGCTGCTTTGCCACACCCACTGCCAAGATGGATGAGATCCTCAAGTACTACCTGATCCAGGATGGGTGAGCACAGTGCTGGCCACTGCCTCCCGGTTTGGTTTGGTTTGGTTTGGTTTGGTTTGGTTTGGTTTGGTTTGGTTTGGTTTGGTTTGGTTTGGTGTGTTTGTTTTTAAGTTTATGTGGTGTGCGTGTGTATATAATATGTATGTGTCTGTTTGTTTATTTTACATACATAGGTATTTTCCCTATATGTATGTCTGTGTGGGGATACTGAATTTCATGCAACTGGAGTTACAAATAGTTGTGAGCTGCCATGTGGATGCTAGGAATTGAACCCAGGTCCTCTGGAAGAGCAGCCAGTGCTCCTAATTGCTGAGCCACCTCTCCAGCCCCACACCCTTTTTTAAAAGCAGATTTGAGGTACAATTGAATTTTATCATTAAATATAGTGAATAATTTCACTTGAAGTGACTGTGGAATGCCTAAGACGCTCAATGGGCAGCTAGAAATGAGTGCCAGTCTCCAGAACACAAAACTATAAAAGATGTCACTGAGAGTAGGATCCATTAGCCTGCTCTGATGGGCAAGCTAGGTGTCGGGAGCCACAGCCCAGTAGGGATGTGGGAAAACACTGAAACAGCTTGTGTAGACTCCACTTTCAAGTTTGATATCGGGGGCTAGGAATATGGCTCAGTGGATGAAGCACCTGTCACAGAGTGAACATGAGTTCAGATCCCTAACACCCAGGAGCCCCCTGTACCTGTGTCAAACAGTCTACCTAATCTATGAGTTTCAGGTTCAGTGAGAGACCCTGCCTCAAAAAATAAGGAGGACAATGATTGAGGCAGACACCTGACATCGACCTTTCACCTCCAAACATGTGTGTACCCACATGTTCAATGCATACACCCATATGAACATAAACATGCATAGACACACATATACATAAAGATAAAAATAAGAAATTTGTTGAGAAAATTAAGTGCTGAGAAAAGAAATTAGTTGGTGGATTCTAGAGGAAAAAATATAGAGACTTCTGTGGCACTGTTGAAAGGTCCTGGACAAGGGTTTGTTGGTGTGGGGTAGCATCAGTGAATCTAACTACTCCCCCCCGTTCATATCAAGATCTCTTTTGTTCTTGCCCTAAATGGCAGCCAGGACAGAGCTCAGATGGGCAGGAACTGCAGCCTCCTAGATGGGGGGGGGGGTGTATGCAGCATTCCTCAGGTTTTTCCCTCCCCTTATAAGCCCAGTTTTCTTGGAAGCTTCTGTGTTTTGCTTTTCTCTCACCAAAGCATCGTTCTCATACTGAACAGTGGTTTTGAGTCCTTGATGGGATGAGGTCAGCCTAGAAGCCCTTTCTTCCATTCGCTGGGGCTGAGCCACCTGCTGCCTCAGTGCTGGGAACTTGGCTTAAATACTTGTTACTCAGACTCTTCTGTTCAGATCGTTCAAAGAGGCTGTGCTACTTCTCCCTTGATCCTTAGTGCATACAAAAGAGACAAATGCATGTCCGTGTGTGTGCACGCGTGTAGATGCACAAATGCAAGAAGATAATGAAACGAGTTAGAAAGGGACAAATCACAGAAAGACGGTCCTTAGCTTCTCAAGAGAATATGGGCATTAAGATTTAAAAGCACAGCCTCAGCGTGTCAGTTACTGTGTCCTTTCTTCAGTTTACCATGACAGGAACCTCATAGCAATGTGCCAAACTGAACTAAGATTCAGACCACAGATTTGTGAAATTGTACCTAAATGTTCCATTTAGAAGAGAAATGAAACCATTTGAGGCCACTTGTCACCTAAGGAGCTTAAATGTGTGTGCACAGATGACTCACTCACCTTTGTACTTCCTCCATGGGATTGTGTCTCTTATATGTCCAGGAACTAGGTGTAAAATCAAAGAAGAACCTTCTCAGAATAACAGCTATATTAACCCAGATTCCTACACCGTGTCACCAATGGGAAAACAACCTCACTAGCCAATGGTCTCTCTGAAGAGCACACCTTGGTGCTTCTAATACTTGGAGCCTTTAACCAAGCTGTGCTCTCTGAGGCCCCATGAATAAAAGCTAGGTCAGACTCAAACATGGCCCTACTTCATGAGGTCTGAAGATGCCTTTGCCATTTACCCTTTATTCTCACAAGGCTGACGTGTGGCCCAGGACACTCCACCCCCTTCTCTTTGGGCCAGACGCTTTGGAGGGGAGTGTGTTCTACCTCTGTGGGAGCAGTCAGGTCTAACATGCAGTCTGTCCTACTTTCAGCTGTGTTTCCGATGACTCCGTGAAGCAGTACTCATCCCGGGACCACCTAGCCAAACACTTCCAGGTCCCTGTCTTCAAGTTTGTGGGCAAAGATAACAAGGTAAGCTGGACCCTTTGTCCCACGACCCCATTCCTGCACCTTCCTTCTCATTGCCCTGGCATGTTGACATTTAGGAGCCTGCGGTTAGCGCCCCAGGACCTCTGGGAGAATACAGTTGAACTGGCCATCGAAAACCTCAACGTTCACACATGTCACAATTGCCTGCCCTGCCCCGCCCTCACGTGAATGACTGTGCACAGACAATATTATAGGAGCATAATTTGACATCTTTGTGGGCAGATTAGGGTAAAAAGCTGGTGTTACTGTCAGTTCAACAAAGGTTAGAGCAGAAACTCCTAGAAAGACAGCACGGAATGGGGAAAGAAAAGAACTCAGCTGCTGATTGCAGGGCACAACTCTGTAGTACGGAATATTTCCGCGGACATATGGGATCCACCAGTTGCAAGGCTCTCAAAGCCATAAGTAGTGAACAGCAACAGTATAAATTGAGTTTACAGTCATTAACTCAACATATGACTTTGTCTAGATATTCAAAAAAATCAAACAGTTTCAAAGAAGCAAAACAGTTTGTTGGATATGTCTTAGAGGATAGTCTAAGAGGGCAAAAGAGGGCCCCAAATTAATACAACTAGTGGGATATACTGCATCATTTCATGTTACATTAAGCATTTTTTAAAATTATGAACCTGAGTACAGCAGGTGTGAAGAAAGTGTCATAATGGCCTGTGTATATACATGGCTCAAGATGGCAGGAGGCTATCCCAGGAAGCTGGAAGTGACAAGATGAAGCTTTTACTGCTGTTGGCAGTGTTGAAACACAATCCAAGTGAAGCTTAACAGAGGAACGTTCTTTTCCACGTTTCCTCTAAGTGTCCTTTCCATTTTGTTGTTCCAGAAATTAGCTGAGTAGCTACTTCCTGGCCTAGAAGATCCTTCTGGAAAGAACTTCTTTACAACAGAAATCCTTGCTCCCAGCCAGGGACAAAAGTACTAATGTCAGGGGACACTGTTTCCTTAAGGTCTCTTCAGCATACCAAAGTTATGGGTCTAGGCATTGAGGTCACCCACATGACTCCATTCCTACTTGGCCACATTTCCAAATGCACGGACTGGGCAATTTTCTTATCCTAAGCGTTGGTCTCCGGTCCTTAAGTACAAGGTTATCATTGCAGCCTCACGTTGCTGTTGTGACTGAGAGGATACAACATGTGATCCTCTGTGTGGCCCTCAGCTGTCACCTGCAATGACAGCTGGGACCACTGCTTTACCAACACTGCCATCCTTCCAGGAGGTGTTTCTGCACTGCCGGGTGCTTGTGTGTGGGGTACTGGATGAACATTCCCGCTGTGCCCAGGGGTGCCACCGGCGAGTGCGTCGTGACGTGGGTGAAGATGGCGACTCTGCTGAGCTGCAGAGTCGGACACTGACAGGAGGCCCCATCATCATTGACTGGGAGGAGTAGGCCCTGCTTCCAGATGCCCTCCTCCTTGGAGCATCTTCCTATGTCCTCTGAGAGCGTCAGAGAACCTCCCGGACACCTGACTCCTTTAAATCGTAAACTGCGTTTAGACAAGCACCCCCAACGAAAGGGCTGACTGGCTGTTTGTCCCTGGCTGGTACAGATCACAGCACTGCTAACCTGTGCAGCCTACATGGACATCAGTTTTAGGATTCAAAAAGCTATGCTGTCCTCATGGAAGGATACCCTCCCCATTTCTCTCTTAAAATAAAATACCTCATTTATGGTGTAATAGAGCCACTAAAATGAGGAGCTGGGAATAACGTTCCAAGCTAAAAACCTAAAATAATTAATTGCTAAAAGTATAACCCATGATCTTCTACATATCTAATAATTATGCCCTGAAATTCCAACCCTAATACAGAATATTTAAAGGAGATTTGAAGGTTTATCTGAAAAAATAATGTGTAAGAGAAAAATATAATAGGTTGAATATTGCATAGTAATTTTTAATGGTTTCATATTGTCTTGTGTGAAATGTTTTCACCTAAAAATAAATCTATAAGGTGCTTAAGAGCACTGGCTGCTCTTGCAGAGGATCTGGATTCAATTCCCAGCACCCGTATGGTGGCTCACCACTGTCTGTAACTTTAGTTCCAGGGATTCAATGGCCACTTCTGACCTCCTCAGGCACCAGACATGCATGTGGTGCATAGGCATATATGCAAGCAGAACACCCAACCTAGAAAGCATTACATTTTAAAGCCATCGGCTCTAAGTGGTTCGTACTATAAGCAAAACCAAAATCTGTTCCCATAAGCCCTGAATATTAGTATTTGTGACAATAGGAAAAGATATAAAATTATATCATACTCTTACTTTGCAGGTGCTCAATAAATTTTATTGAAATAAATATCATAAACTACAAAGATGAATGTTATCTGCAGCTGAATTTGGCTCCTTGATACTCCAGTTAACTCTGACTTTACATATAATCAACAAAGGTTTCTTTTTCTTTCTCAAAGAGGCTGCAATGGACGATTCATTTCTTCTCTCTCTCTCTCTAATTGCCACGAGGGATGATTGACAATTCTGGTTCAACTTAATGAAATTAGGAGGGGGAAGAGAGGAAGTGAGAATTTAGGGTCAGAAACCAAAGCCAAAGGTGACTGTTTTAGACTTTGGGGTCTTTCAGTCCTTGTCATAACCTCTCTCTGACATTACACAGTGAAAGCAGCTTTAAACAAAGATGAAAGTAAATGTGGCTGCATTTGAAAATGTACAAAACAGCGGGCCTTGGGCTCAATCTGGCTGGTGTGGCTTTGTTGGCTAATTATGATCTACACTGATGGCCTTCTGGGAGCAACAGAATACCTTCAGTGTTGGAAGTAGCCTGGGCACAGCCCCAGGCTTGACTGGCTACATTTAAGGGCCCACAAGTACTCCTAATCCACAGTCAGTGCTGAGGGCCACAGTTGAGGGAATGGCGTCACTTCCTGTCATTTGTAGGCACGTCTTCTACCCTAACCAGACACATCTCGGATCTTCAAATGACTCTCACACAGCTTGGAGTCTGAGCATGCCAATGGGGGCATACCCATAGGAGTGGCCACTGGAGGAGCCCTGGACCCTCAGGACCCTAACCCCACCCAACCTTTATTGACAAGGGCCTGCTTGCCCAGGGTTTGTCTCTTAAGCACCCTTAGCATCCTCATGGGCAGAACTTACCAGCCTGGATTCTGTCCTCAAGTGAAATAGAACTGTACATGAAAATGGAATTCATTCATCTCTCTTCAAGTTTTCTAAAAAGTGCGCTTTATTAAATGTGAGGTGCTAAACTGGCAACTGAAACGTGGACCAGAGAAAAGTCCTTATCTCCCAAATAAGTGTTTGGGCTCCCCCAGATTTGGCTTATGACTATCATGATCAGATCTAGGGATAGCAGGAGCTAGTTCTCTTCCAGCTGAACTGAATTTCCAGGTGTGTGTGTCTTAGCTGGGGCGACCAATGTTAGCGTAAACAGTCTTCAGACTCTGCACATCTTTTTCTTAACTTTCTCAAAAGACAAGGCCTGCTGTTTCCCTTCTCCAGCTTGTGGTCTCCGAAGGGTTGGAAGAAAGGACAAGGACGGTACCTCCGTCACAGCACCATTTCTGAAACTGAGCCCTGGTGTGACTGAAAGTCTGGCAGAATCGCCTTGTCTTCATAGCTCTTCTCTCTCCTCCTCCGCACAGATGCAGGCCGCCCGCTGACTGTTCATAAAGGGGCGGCAGCCCAAGGTCCACACGGTGTTGAACACGGTGTCAGCCAGAGAATCACAGGCTGCTTGAAAAGACGAAAAGAAGCAGAAAGATCAGCACAGACCACCCCACTAGCATGCCAGGCAGCATGTTTCCAGGGTGATGGCCAGACATGGCAGAGACAGAATCAAGAGGATGAACTCCCCCATAAGACAGGCACTTTCAGAAAAGGCCCCCTTCTATTCCGATAAAGCAGATCTGCTTGCTGGTGCCTCACTTCTGAGGCTCCCCCAGAGGAAGGCATTAGAAATCCCACCACCGTGATTTTAGAATACTCATTCAGACACGCTATCAAACTTCCCATTGCTTACCCTACTCAGGTGTGGTCTGCATAATCATTTGTTGACAGAGGAATATATGTATGAAAGACAGGCTCATCAGCCATTCTCGTTGGTACCAGAGACGAGCACATAAGATGTCTCATCCCCAACTCAAGGCTCTCATAGTCCAGACCAAGAAATGGAGCAGGCAAACAAACAGGACAGCAGCAAGTTATGCTATACCACGATGGCTGGGAACTCATGGGGAGGTTCCTGTCCCTTGGGAGAAGCAGATCTGAGGGAAGGCACCCCAAAAGGTGAACTCTGGTTCACTAGCATAGCAGATACTGTGGGCAAGCCAGAAAATTGAGAAAACTTAAAGAAAATATAAACTCTCCTCAGAACTGGCTCAATAAAATAGAAAATAAAAATAGATTGTTAGTCCCTAAAAATACATCTCCAAAGGAAATCCACTCCCATATGGCTTCAAGGAAATTTTTGCTAGATGTTTAAAACAAATAATAGCAATAACTTCTAAATACTTCTAAAACTTAGGATTATATCTGTTTCATTTTATGAGGTTAGTATTATTTTGACAACAAAAATCAGAGAAACAAGAGGAATAAAAGCCACTGACAAATCTCTCTCCTGACTCAATGCAACATCTTCAGCAGACACCAGTCAGCTGGACTCACACCACAACCAAGCGGGGCTCATCTTAAGTACACACGCTGGTTTAACACACTGAAATCAGTACAGCTCCCACCTACCCATAGAGTAAAAGTCACACGCCACAAAAAGACTGCAACACCTTTCCATGATAGAAACACTCAACAACCCAGGAGGAGGACTTCCATGCCCGACAGGGGCCACCTAGGAAGAACCAGTACTCATGCTCAGAGCTAAGGCTGGCGCCTTTCCCCTGCAGAACCGGAAGAAGATACAGGGAAATGAACTCTTAAAATGTCTGTTGATTGGGGTAGTAAAGTTCTAGCCATAAAGTCAAGAAAGAGAAGGAGTGCAAATTACAGTTTGATGTGCTGATGACGTCTTATGTAAAGACTGAGGCATGTTCTGAAAAACTACTAGAATTTGTGCAAGAATGCAGCCAGATCAAAAAATAGATCAATAGGCAGAAATCAATCACTTGTCTTTCTGTACAGCATCAACAAATCACCTGCCAAGAAAATTAAAAGGTCAGGAGGAAGGCTCAGTGGGTAAAAGCACTTGTCACACAAGCCCGACACAGTCTGAGTTTGATTCCTGGAGCCCACATACAAAAGCTGGAGTCAGGAGTTTAATCCCAGCCCTGGAGGCACAGCCAAGTTTGTGGCCAGCCTGGTCTAGAGAGTGAGTTCCAGGCAAGCTAAGGCTGCTTAGTGAAAAGCTGTCTCTAGTAAACAAAAAACGAAAACGGACTGAACCCGGTGGCTTCCAGCGTTACCTCAGCACCCTATGATGAGATGAGAGGCCAGGTCAGGAGACCAGGGGAGGCCGACACAAAAAGTTGCCCCTTGACCTACACATTGGCTCCATCATAAACACACATGTAAAAAAATAGAAAACAAATTAAAATTAAAATTTTAAAATTAAGAAAACAGTTCCATTTAGTATAACATCACAATGGGGAAAAAAATACCAAAGAAGCACAAAGCCTTTGCTATGACAATGATAATACTGTGGGGAAAAATAAAAGACATTCATGTTCTTGGACTAGGAAACACAATTTTGTAAAAGTAGAAATACTAGAATTTATCCACAGATTGAACCAAAGCTCTGAGGATGACAGCTCAAAGCTGTCATTTCTTGTCATTTCTTGCAGAAATTAACAAGCTGGTCCTAAAATTTCATAGGAATGACAAGAATCTAGAGTGTCCGGAGGGATCTGACAAAGAACAAGGGTCAAGGGCACATCCTAACTTCCAGGTTACTGAAATGCTATGGAGATAGGGATACAGATGCTGCTTCAGATCAGTGGAATAGCACAGGGTCAAGCGCAGAGAGATCACTCATTACAGTTTATAGTTTAATGTGGGAAAAAAATAGTATTTCAACATCAGAGTTAAATCATCAGGATAGCCACAAACCGGGGTCAAACCTATTCTTTATTTTATTTTATTTTTTATTATTAGTTACATTTTATTAACTCTGTATCCCACTCCCTCATTCCCTCCCAACCCTCCCTCCCTCCCTCATCTCCTTCCTGCCCCTTTCCAAGTCCACTGATGGGGGGACCTCCTCCCCTTTCATCTGACCCTGTTTTATCAGGTATCTTCAGGATTGGCTGCAAAGTCCTCCTCTGTGGCCTAGCAGGACTGCTCCTCCCTTGGGGGATGGGGAGGTCAAAGAGCCTGCCATTGAGTTCCTGTCAGAAATAGTCCCTGTTCCCCTTACTAGGGAAACCAATTGGTTACTGAGCTACCACGGGCTTCATCTGAGCAAAGGTTCTAATACCATGTACAAATGATTCTCAGTGGATCACAAACCTAAACCAAGAGCTAATATAATAGAAGAAAAAGATCAGTAGATGTTTTTAACCTTGGGCCTGTAAAGTCTAGTTATTACATGTGACAGCAAAATACCACTGATGAAAATAAATAAATTTCACTTCATCAAAATGTAAGCTTCCTGGGCCTCAAAAAATAGCATAAGGAGAAGCTGCTGTGGTGGTGGCCACCTGTAACCCAGACCACAGGCTGAGGCAGGAATCTGGGATTTTGGCATCATCCCGGGCTACTTAGAGACCCTGTCTCAAAGCAGGGATGTATGTGTGGATGCTTGTAAATCATGAATCTGACAACAGACTAGAAACAAAGGTCTCCTGACTCGGTGACAACAAGCGAAAGAAAAGGGGTAACGCTCCTGGATAGACACCTCTCCTAAGCATTTACGTGTCCAATACCGCCAGTTGCCAGGGAGCTCAGGCTCTGTAACAAAAACAACATGAATGTTGACAAGGATGTGAAGAAAGTGGAGCTTCGGGGAATCTAAAATGGTTTGACATTTTGTTAGGTTATCAAACAGTTCAACATATATTAGTTGTATAATCCATCAATTTCTCTTCTACATATATATGCATATATAGGTATATCTATATGCACATATATATGTATGTACACACATATACACACACAAAAGAATGAAAGCATGGTTTCTGCAGATACTAATATGTTTGTGATCATGGTAGCAGGATTAACACCAAAGCCAAACCAAATATCAATTGATGGACAGATAAAGATGATGTCAGAAGGCATATCATGGACTATTTGGCAAAAAAAAAAAAAAAAAAAAAAAGGAATGATCTTTTCATACTTCCTAAGCGTACAAATTAGATTCACAGTTGCTCCTGGCTGAGTAGGGGGAGTCTGAAGGAAATGGCTATAGGGTTTCTTTGGAAGATGATGAATATGGGGTTGATTGTGTAACTCTAGACATATTCAACCAGTATTTGAATGAGTTAAATGACACACAAATTACATTTCAAATACACTGGTGTTTTTGTGCTTGCTTGTTTGTTTGTTTGTATTTGTTTTTGGAGTTTTTTTTTTTTTTTTTTTTTTTTTTTTATGAGACAGGGTTTCTCTGTGTAGCGTTGGCTGTCCTGGAACTTGCTCTGTAGACCAGGCTGACCTCAGAACTCAGAGATCCACCTGCCTCTGCCTCCCAAGTGCTGGGATTACAGGCGTGCGCCACCACCACTCAGCCTCAAATACACTGTCTCAAATACACACAACGCTCAAATGCTCAAACATTCTATGCAGAAGGAACTTTAGGGTGGGAAGCCTGGGCGTTCAACCCAGACATATTTCAGTGTGGGAGAGCAGGATGCCTGAAATAGTGCTGAAGAGGTGGTCTGGGGTTGACCTACAACGTGTGGAACTCGAGGGCTTATATTTAGTCTATAGAGAAGGAAAAACTAAAGTGGCCACAACTGCAGGTGGAGCCTATCAGATTTAGTTGATATTAAAATCTAGCTGGTCCCAGTGGCTGGCCCTCACTTGATGGAACATAAAACAGAATTTGCAGCAACCCGGCCAGTGGGAGAACAATGAGATACTTAAGAAGAAAAATCAATAGGAAGTTGGACTAGAGCCCTTCCCTGCCCCGAGCCTACATCAACAGCAGTTCTTTCCACCCTATGTGGACACAGGATAGAGAGAGCTCTCCTTTTTACAAGGCCCAGGAATAGTCCACATTCCTAGGCCCTCACACATTCACATTAAAACTATTTTCTAGACACATCCAAGAACCACATCCAAGATTGCTCCCACAGTTGGTATCTCTGTAGCTCATAGGAGCCTGGTTTTCAACCTCTCCCATCTGGAAACTTTGAACATTACTACTGGGCTATCATGTTCTGGCTTCTGAAGTGGAGAGATTAAAACCTTTTGGACAGTGAGTTAGGAAAAAGAAATTACAGAGTTAGAGCTGGGAGCAGTTAGGCAGTGTTTAAAAATAATTACCCGGAAGCACACAGAAAGCTGTACACACACAAAAGAGGGTTTTTAAAGTTCCTGCCCAGACTAAGAGCAAACTCTGAAAAGGGGCTTTAGGCCAAGCACACGGTCCTCTATAGAGGGAGTACTGAGTGGAAGGTAGTTGACAGGGTGCGGGAGCATTTTCTCCAGTCTTAAAGGCAGGTTTTCATTCTCTGTGGAGCCGGTTGCTGAGGCCTTTCCAGCAGCTCATGGGCAGCAAGATCTTTCATAAAAGAGCAGCTAGTCTCTCCCTCCAGCTTTCCAGCAAGCTCCGACCATCACTCCAGTAAAGAGGGATCCCTGGCTCCCGTGCAAAAGCAGGAGCAAAAGTCCCTGTCTCTGGGATGTGTCCCTAAGAGACCTACCTTCCACGTTGGAGACAAAGCCCAGGCTCCGCTTGAGGTCGGAGCAGATGGAGTGGAGACACCATCGGAATTTTGCATCACAGCGGTATTTGTTGGCACCACAGGTGTCATAGCAGACATCCAGCTGGTTGCAACACTTGGTCATTGCTGGAATGCCCAAGTCCATCTGTGAAAGTGAAGCAGGGGAGTGCCACGTTTAGACCGGGACCTGAGGCAACCCTGCCCACCTCACTATGAGCCAGCCACTTCTCAAGTGTGTGCCACGTATTAGATCAGTTCAAGGACTCAGACTGTCTCCAAACACAGGATGCTAAACTGTAATGTTGTTATTAGCTTCGCAAGTGACTCTAGTCTGTTTTCTATCTTACTTTTTGTGATATAGTTATTTTCAAGTCCACACCCATGTGTGGTGATGAAAACAGAGGCCAGAGGGACAGACAGCAGGGCAGAGCACAAGGCGATTCACATTCAGTTAAAACTTAACACTTTGGTCTGAGAGTCTGTTGGAGAAAAAAGATGCCATGACTACTATAAACAAATAGGCTAAAGTAATTGGAACATAGCTGGCCTTTCTCAGGGGCAGGTATAAGACACCACAAGAGGAATGAGGTCAGACCACAGCATTGCACCGTAAACACAGATCTAAAACAGCACCCTAAAAACAGATCTACCCATTGTGGTGCAAATCAATCAGAGAGCATCACACAGAGTTAGGAAACAGGGACTGTGGGACAGTGGAAGGAAGACTGAGAGCACTATGAGCAATGAGGGTGCATGGGCTTTGGTGTGGCTCCACTGGGAGAGTGCTTGCCTAGTGTGCATGAAGTTTTATCCGTAGGATGGCACAAACCAGGCCTGGCAGCACACACCTGTATCCCAGCATCCGGGAGGCAAAGGCAGGAGGATCAGATGTGTACTACAACACTATATTTCAAGCTTGGGGCCAGCCTGGACTACATGAGACCCTGTCTTGAAAGAAGGAAGAGGAGAAGGAAGGGAGGAAATAAAATGGAAGTAGGCTCAGAGCAGGAAAAGAGAATAAGCAGGTTAACAGGTCAATTTATTTAGTGTGTTAAAGTTTTAGCAGGCTATGAGCATGCAAGCACGTGTGCAGGGAAACTTTGCAGGCCCTAGAGTCTGGTTGACAGGCACTACAAAGTTTGAGCCTTACATCACCAGAGGAAACTTATTGCCAAACTGATAAATAGCTTTGCCTTCCAAGTTAGAGTTATCACATAATCCTGAGCAAGAGATTGTTTTAAAAAGCAAAAACTCGGACAGCTGCACACTCAGTGGTGCGTGAGAGCATTCAGTGGGGCATGAGAGCACTAATGGTACAAGAATGCACTCAGTGGCATGAGCACAGAGCACGTGAGGTTAGTACTAGGAAGGGTATCTTAGATGCCTTTGCAGTTTCTTGATAATATGGGCTTGGTTTCTTGTTTGTTTTTCCAGACAGGCTCTTATGTAGCCCAGGCTAGCCTCAAATTCCTATGGCCTTCTACAAATCCTCCTGCCTCCACACCTGAGTACGGAGGCTGGGATGTGGATGGGTGCTGGTGCAAATCTGCTGTCAGGGTGTGTATGAGGAGTGTGTCATCAGCGATGGTACCTCCATGATAGGCCTCCCAGGGTCTCTCCTATTAAGCCAAGGCCACCTGCTGCAGAATAAGGACTTTCACAGTTTAAAAGTCCTCTTAAGCAAAAGAAAACAACAAGATCATGTTTCAGACAGCCTAGCTCATCCGATGAGGCACAGCTGGGTACTGCAATTTTTCATAGGCTGCTGCAGTCTGACGTGTACAGCTAAGGATTTTGCCTAGCCCTGACCCCCGACTAAAACTACACACGACAAGGACAACTGCCAGTGACTGAAGAGTGGTAGCATGGCTAGGCTTGGCTGAATAGAGAGTCTTGAGCTACTTCTAAATAGTGCCGCTCTCACTGGGTAGCTCTGGCTGGCCTTGAGCTCAGAGATGCACCTGCTCTTTCTTCTGAGTGTTGAGATTAAAGGTGTGCACCACCGCCATTAACTGATTAACTGATTAACTGCATTAACTGCATTAACTGATGCAGTAGGTTGGTTGGCTGGCTGGCTGGCTGGCTGGCTGGTTGGTTTCTTGGTTGGTTGGTTGGCTGGCTGGCTGGCTGGCTGGTTGGTTGGTTGGTTGGTTGGTTGGTTGGTTGGTTGGTTGGTTGGTTGGTT